TTTTATCTAAAAACTTTAAATATTTTTTTTATTATCCACTAATATATGTTACATTGATGTAGATGGTTCAATGAATAAATAAGAAAGAATATTACTTACTTATATTATTTTGACATAGATGTCAAAATAATTAGCACATTTTTTTAAGAATTAAATATAAAAGTAATTACATTTATAGCAATTAATATTATACCATAAATATTTCGATTAGGAACACCAATTAATATTTAATTTCTTACTGTATTTATGAGTGAATAGTTCAGAACTAGTAAAATGTTTCAATATTTACCTTTACTATTAAAAACAATGTACATTTAAAAATGTTTCGATATGTACCTTTTGTTATTAAAATTTTACCTTTTATGATTAAAATTTTAGGAACATACTTTTTATTTGATTTAGAATTTTTTATATATACGGAATAAAATTAATGCTCTAATAAATAAGCGTGCCCATAAAAATCCATTTCCTTTTATATATTTGTTTCTTTTTTTAAATAATTAGAAAACCTCTCCAAATACTATTAATTCAAAGCAAAAAAATCAAATGTAATTTCGTTTAGTCCTACCAATCTATCCGTTCTTAAAGTAAATTTATTTGTTTTGATTATAGTTTTTGAATAGGTGGTTTTTTTAAATTTCAAACTATACTATTTAATTTAAATATTTTCCAATATTGAATGAAAATATAAACGTTTTTAAACGTGATTATATAGAGAAATTTGTGTGTAACAAATATGAAATTTAATTTGTGTATAATAAGTTTTTTTGTTAACTATTTTTTAAACATTACTTGCTAACATGACATGCTGATTTGTTAAAAAAGTTGTCTAATAAGCACGCCACATGTCACAATTCTAAAAGCCCAACCCGTTTGAAATATTGAGGAAATTGATTTTGATAACGTGGCTGATGAAGTGTCAAAAAAGATCCAATCAGCACGCCAAATGTTGCACTTCTGAGAGTTCAACTCTCAAATATTATATATAAAGGATTTCAGATGTCATCATGCTTAGTGATAGATTTTTGGAACCCGGGTCTAAAATAGACTATGTTGAGGAGAGTTATGAACAAGTTGAGCACAAGCTGTATGGAATTTAGGGCTGTCAACGGATAGCCAAAAATCCGATTACCGTCCGCATCCGTATCCGATTACTAAACGGATACGAATTTGGTAATTGTATACCCAATCCGTTTAAAATCCGATCCGAATATGCATCCTTTTAAATAACCGTTTATCAAAATATTCGATCCGTTATATATAGTTTTTCCAAATTTTTTATGTTTATATTTTTTTCTCTATTGATATTCCAAAGTATAAAATATTTTTATACACAAAATAAATTTGTAGACACATAAAAATATGTGCAACATATAAAAATATGTGTATATGTGTGCTGTGTATCTCTTTTTATCATATTAAATTATCATAGAATATCATAAATCATGAAAATAAAGAAAATAATTATCCATAACAAATTATTGTTGATTTAATAATAGTGTGACTTGAATCTAATTTAAAATTCAAGTATTGTTAAATTTGATTTTTGAAATTGGAAATGGATACGGATATATCCGATATCCGACCGATATCCGACAGATGCGGATACGGTTTTAATTTTCAGTATCCGTCAAGATCCGTATCCGAATCGATATCCGACAAAAATAAACGGATACGGATTTGGTAATGACACATCCAATCTGATTAATATCTGTTTACACCCCTAATAGAATTACTATTTAGTAAATGATTGCTCAGTAGAAAAAGATGACCCACTCTATTTGACAAGGGGAGGGTATTTATCCATGTTACATGTCTCATACGGTTGTCTCGTAGCTATTATAATGGGCAACACATATGTCGGGCCCATAAGGTACGGGCCCCTGTTTATGGTACAAGGAATATATTGTACTTGATACGTGCATTATGCTGATACATACTGTATGGTACACCTAAGGGCATGTGTTGTCTAGAGTGGATCCAACGATTTAGATCGGGGTGGCCTCGTCGTCGAACAGACGACCAAGTTCAGTTACGGTGCCAAGGCCGAGTGTGATTCCTTGACCGGGTATATCTTATAACGCATACTACTTGTTGGATTTCCCTTGTTGGGCTCGTTAGTTAAATGAGCCTGATATCCCCTGTCTTGGGTATCAATCGCTCAGAAAACACATGTCAAACTTATATAAATTAAAATCATTTATAAAAATCATATCTAAAAAATTAATGGTTCTCGACTTATTGCTTAACTTAGAATTTTACTAATAACTAGTTCTGATTTAAAGATTACTGTTAAAATAAGTGTTTATATTTTAAATAACTTTTAGTCATATAATCATATATACTTCCCTCATCCCAAAATAGATGTTATGTCACTATTACGGTTTCTCAATAACTTTTGTGTGTTTCTATATTTTCATTAATCGTTTGATAAAATAAAATTTTTTTGTCACATCTTGTTTTGTGGAATCTTTGATATATTTTTTAACGGAAAAACTTTTTACTTATATCAATTTGTAATTAAAATGATTGTAAAAGTGAAGAGATTTTGCACATTATTTGGATAATGATTTTTTTACTTGGGAGGTACCTTAACTTTGAGGATTGTAACAAAAAGATATTTCATCTTCAACTTGTTTTAAAAATGTACCCGTCTTAAAAAATGCAACAAAGGGGAACCCTTGCAGGAATTTTGAAAAGCTGGCCGATGAGTGCACATTTGGCCGTCCACTTGGCTTCCCAATGTACACGTGTCATCCTAAAAATATTTCCTATTTTGATTTTTTGGTCAAACAGTGACACTCTTTGACCACAAATTGTGAGAATGATATATCTAATTTTAATATAAATTCAATATAATTGGGTTCATCATAGAATATAGTTTTGATATATCAACTATTTATATCATTTATTTTTTATTTAGATTATGTTTAATTTGTGGTCAAAGAGTGTCACTATTTGACCAAAAAAAGTCAAATCAGAAAAGGTTTTTCGGACCAAAAGGAGTGTGTGATTATATGCTTTCTAGAAGTTTTTTTTAAATTTTACTATTTTGAAATGTTTTTCTAATTTACAAAATATTTTAATCCAAAATAACAATTACTTTTTAAATATTTGTTTATATTGTAATTTAAAGGGCATAATTTCTTATTTATTTTAATTTGAAAATACTTACAATCTTTTGGAGTTAGAAATTAAATAGATAAATAAACATAATGTTGCATGAATGTCTCTTTTAAAACAAATACTTATGGTCCTTTTGGTGAGTTTTAGAGATTTGATAAGATATGGAGTATGAAATCCGTGAGAAATGAAATAGGTTTTGAAATCTGAAACGAATTTGTTTGGAGAGATTAAAAATTATAATTTAATTAGTGATAAGCGGGGATGACCGGCAACAAGGGTGGTTGGTGATGACAATGGTACCCGACGTCGGAAAATGATCAATAGTTGAGAAGATATCAAACCTCCATATTGATATCTCCCAATTTCGAGAGATATTGAAACCCACCATTTAAAGGATTTATGATATCTGGAGATATTGAGTTTGTTATCTTTTTTTACTTCACCAAACACCTAAAAAGAATTCCGAAATCAGGAGATATCAAAACCCATTTCTTATTTTCTCACCAAACACACCCTTGGATGACTCATAAAAACTCTTTCAACGACGATAAAAGTAGTAGGAGCAACAATAATCATAAAAATGTCTTCCTTTATCAAACAAATTGAAATAATAAGATCAAAATTGAATATACACAAAAAAAGTATAGAAGAAGAAAGAAGATATGAGACTCAAAGATGTGAAAAGATGAGTGCGGCGATGCAGGTGGGGTGGTGGTGACGGCGATAGGGGGTTGCGATACCAATTGGGGTGGAAGGAAGAATGACAGAGAAGAGAAGCGATTGGGAGAAGAAGGAACGGGAACGAGGAGAGTACAATTTAAAATGAAGGTCAGAATATTTTCTTTGCTTTGTAGTAACCATTTCCCTTTTTTTAGTTCGTCTTGAAATAATTATCTTATTTTTTTACAAACTTAATTAATAATAAGTAATGAAATATGGAGAATGGATAATTGAAAAACGGTAGGGTTCTAATGATATCCACGTTTGGTAACAATAGCGGTGCCACTATCATTTTGAGACACTTCCAGTGCTCTATTCGTAAAATTGACGATTCCTACCCCCTTAACTCACCCACCCTAGCCCCGCCCCTGCACCCCTACTACAACCCCGCCGTAAGCCCCCCCACAAAATGTGTGGTCATTATGCAATGCATATTAGCCACACATTTTGTGGGGACTTACGGCAGAGTCGGGGTGGTGGTGCAGAGACTGAGGTATGGTGGGGGTTTAAAGGGTGGATTAAGGTGGTAAAAATCATCAATTTTACGAACGAAGCACCAGAAGTGTTCTAATATGAAAGTGACATAAGAGTCTCATCGTACTTCAGTGTTACTAGAATCCCACGGATCGAAAAATAGAGTTAAAAAAAAGAAAAGAAATGAAAAGACAATTCATCAAAAAACGGAATCTAGTCCATAATGGGTTTCTTCGCCCCCATCGAGTCGAGCGACAAAAAACACAGACTTTCGACGATGACGTGGCACGTGGGAAACATTTAAAAAAGAAAAAAGAAAATAATCCAACCATTATTTTTCTCTGCAATAAAAAAAACGCAATTAAAGTCAAATCCGCACGCTACTTTCGCTGTCCAAGTCAACTCAGCGCGACTCGGGGACCCCATCGCGAACTTTTCGGGGTGGCTTTCGCAAATACCCGATTCTCGGAGGGGCAGACCGCAAATACCCGCAAAAAGGCCCCCACTTCAGTCACATTCCACCCCCCCTCTCTCTCATCACATCGTCCGAGTCACCCGCGGGTGATGCTATCATCTCCCTGCCCGATCTGCCCGTCCTGCCCGAACCTGCCCGGCTCCGCTTTCTCCCTTCTCTCTCTCTCTCTCTCTATATACTCAATCAAAGTCTCGATAACGCCTTTCCCCTTTGCCGTCTGTAAACTTGTTTTGCTTCGCGACATCTATTTATTCTTCTTCTTCTTTGGAAAGATCATTTGATTTGCAGGAATTCTTTGATTTATTTGTGAAATCTCTCGCCTTTTTTTCTGGATCCTGTCTGGGTTCAGTGGAAGAATTGTCGGGGGTCTGTGCAGCAGCCGGGGAAAGATCTGGAAAGGTAAGTGTGATTTGATTCGGAGAAATTGATCAGTAGCTGTGTTTTGTGTTTGGGGTGGATTGTTTGGATCTGGGATTTGTTAATTGGGGCGTGGATTGTGCAGATCGGAGAATCGAAGCTAGGGTTTCCGTGGAACAGGGGGAAGCGATCTTCAGCTAGGTGAGAATTGGGGTTTCTTTTAAGGGGTTTGTTTCTTTTTTCTTTTGGCTCTTCCTCTCTGGCTTGATTTAGCGGGTGTGTGTGGAAATGAGCGATATTTATTCTAGGGTTTTGATGAGGGGATGATTGGGAATTAGGGAATTGGTGTTTCAGGGCGAGTGGGAGGTGGAGCGATATACAGAGGGGAAGATGCGAGGGAATTGTTATTATGCGTGGGAGGGAACAGCGGGGAGGTGAGACTTGTGGACGGAGGAGTTTTGGCCAACACATGCGGGCTACGACCAAGAGGACTGTAGCCGCCTGTGATTCATCTCTTACTGAAGCTATCACTGCCGATTCGTTCTGCAAGGTATTGCTCTCCTGGGATTTGGTTGTGCTACTCTGTTTTTTGCTTGCTTGCTTGGTGTTGAACCTTAAGCGAGAGTTCGTGATACAATTTTATGAGAAATGAGTTAAAAGGAAACATGATTTGTGAATATGAAGCTCATTTCGGTGTGAATTGCTCGATGGAGCTTTCTCTTTGATAAAGTTTCTTTTTTTCTTATAAGATCTTGGTTGGTTGCCTCCTCGATGCTGCACATATGAGTTTTTAATTGCCTCCATGTCATTTTGCTCATATTTGAACTTCAGTTTCATGATCTGGGTCATCAGCATAAGAGAATTTTTCTCTTCCTGGTCATCTTGGAAATGCAGTTATTAAATACGTGCACACGGCTTTTGCTAATTTGATGAATAACCAACATTTCTCTGTTTCACCCTGCAGGAGGATCGCAAGATCTGTGTTGGCGATTGTGCTCTTTTCAAGCCCCCACATGATTCCCCTCCTTTCATTGGAATAATCCGCTGCTTAATCCCAAGTGAGGACAAGAACTTGCAGTTAGGTGTTAATTGGCTTTACCGACCAGCTGAGCTGAAGCTAGGCAAAGGCATCCTGCTGGAAGCCGAGCCAAACGAAATTTTCTATTCCTTTCATTGGGATGAGATATCTGCTGCATCCTTACTCCATCCGTGTAAAGTTGCCTTCCTTCCTAAAGGTGTCGAACTTCCAACAGGGGTATCTTCATTTGTTTGCCGGCGAGTTTATGACATTGCAAACAAGTGTTTATGTTGGCTAACTGATCAAGATTATATTGATGTTAGTCCCTATTGCTTGACAGCTCATCATCTTTCCACTGCTTACCTTACTCACTAGTTTGAATAGGTATGGGAAAGAAACCGAGGGATAAAGATTTGCAGTGCTGTTTGGAGTGAGTCTCGGTTGGGATAGGCTTGAGTGGTTAACCTAGGGAGAAGGAGATGGGGCGATTTGGGTGGTGGGGACTTTGCTGTTGTGTCACTTTTTATTTTTATAGCTTGGGTTTTCATTTTTGCAAAGCTTTTCTAATTTATGATGAAATGCTTATTCAATCTTTGTGCGTGTTCAATCATTGCAGGAGCTACAAGAAGAAGTAGATCAACTGCTACACAAGACTCGGGTAGAGATGCATGCATCATTGCAACCTGGCGGCCGTTCTCCAAAACCAATAAATGGTCCCATGTCCACATCACAATCAAAAACAGTTTCAGAAAATGGGCAAAATACCGTGACGTCGTTTCCTTCACAAGTTAAGGGAAAGAAAAGGGAGCGGGGAGATGACAGTATTTCTGTAAAGCGAGAGAGATCTTTTAAACAAGATGATTGTAATTCTAATAGTCTGTACAGAACTGAGAGTGCTATTAAATCTGAAATAGCAAAAGTAACAGAAAGAGGGGGAGGGCTTGTGGACTCTGAAGGAGTTGACAAGCTTGTTCAGCTTATGCAATCAGACAGAGGAGAGAGAAAAATGGATTTGGTTTGTCGGTCACTCCTCGCCGCAGTGATTGCTTCAACAGACAAATTTGAGTGCCTTAATCAGTTTGTGCAGCTCCGGGGTTTGCTTGTATTGGATGAGTGGCTTCAGGACATTCATAAAGGGAATAGAAATGGTGATGGCAACCCAAAGGATGGCGGTGACAAACAAGCGGATGAACTTCTAGTAGTTTTGCTCCGTGCACTTGATAAGCTCCCTGTGAATCTTGAAGCACTAAAGATGTGCAATATTGGCAAATCCGTGAATCATTTAAGGTCACACAAGAACATGGACATCCAGAGGAAAGCTCGAAGCTTGGTTGACACATGGAAGAAACGCGTTGAAATTGAAATGAATATGATTGATGCTAATAAGCCTACACAAGGCGTTGCATGGCCTTCTAAATCACGGCTTCCGGAGACTTCTCATAGTGGCAACAAGAATAATCCTGGCTGTTCGAATGATGTCACTCCAAAGAGCTCGGTGACACAGCTCTCCTCGAGGGCCACTTCATTGAAAACTTTACAAGTGGAAACCGCTGCAAAATCTGCTTCCTCTTCCCCTGTACTTGGAAAAGAGGGTCAAGCCAGAGTTTCACTTTGTGGCGGTCCTGCAGATGTCGTTCCTGTAGTAGTGAGGGAGGATAAGAGCAGCAGTTCTAGTCAATCTCATAACCACAGTCCATCTTTCTCTGGAAAAGAGGATGCAAGGAGTTCCACTGCAGGGTCGATGAGCAGCAGTAAGATCTCAAATAATGGTTCCCGTCACCGCAAGCCTATCAATGGGTTTCCCGGGGCATCTATTTCTGGAATCCATAAAGAAAGAAACAGTGCATCACTTCACAACAAAACTTCTAACCCTGAAAAGTTATCCCAGTCTGCAGTTGGTGATAAATCTAATGACTTCTCAACCGTTGAAGGGAGAGATCACAAGCTGATTGTTAAGATTCCCAACAACAGGGGCCGCAGTCCTGCACAGAGTGCAAGTGGAGGGTCTTGCGAGGAACCTAATATTGAGAATAGCCGAGCTTCTTCTCCAGTGGTTTCAGAGAAACATGACCACTCTGACCAAATTGTGAAGGCAAAGAGTGATGCCTATAGATCTAATAATGTAATGTCTGATGTCAATGCAGAGTCTTGGCAAAGTAATGATTTCAAAGATATATTAACTGGATCCGATGAGGGTGATGGATCACCCGCTGCCCTTCCCGAAGATGATGATAGGAAAGCCGGGGACGTCCCGAAGATTTCTTCATCTTTTGGAACAGAACTGAAGAAGTCTGGGGACAATCATGATGCTTTCAACTCCATGAATGCTTTGATCGAGAGCTGTATTAAGTATTCTGAAGCAAATGCATCCATGTCAGTTGGTGATGCTGGTGGCATGAATCTACTGGCAAGTGTGGCTACTGAAGAAATGTCAAAATCTGATATGTATTCGCCTTCTCTTTCCTCACAAAGAAATTCCCCTGCAGTTGAGGAAACTTCAATCGCTGCTGATGATTTGCGACCAAAACCTCAACCCCTTGAAAGAATTGCAAATGACTGCGGCCAGAAAAATGATAATCTTAATTTTGATAATAAACAACACGGTGACGCAAAATCAGTTGGCGAGCGTAATTTGGAGATGAATGAGGCCTCTGGTGAGAGGAGCAATTCAGTGCTATTATCACCTGCAAGTGGAGCAGGTAAGGCATATGAAAGTGAGTCGGACAAAAGATCTTTTGAAGAGGGGAAAAAGGCATTTTCCACTGATGGCCTATCCGATGCAAAACCTGGCACTAATACTCTGTTAACAGGGCACAATGCAAGCTTAAGTGACCAAAAGGGAACCGGTGAAGAGGTGAAATTAGCGGCAGCAGCAACAGTGGATACTGAAGTGAATGAGAGACCTGTAATGAAAGAGCAACCAACGACCTTTAGTAAAGACATGAATGCAGATAAATGCGGCGATGAGGACAAAATTCACCCCTATCTTAACCGGTGTGGAAAGAAGATGCATCTTGATATACCTGATCCGTTACTGGAAGATAAAAATTCAGTTGCTGTGGATTCCATTGTTAACAACAATCCCATGACAGAATGCAATGCAACCCATGCTGTAGCTAAGCATGATTCTGGCCATGTAGTGGAGAAGAAGCACAAAGGATCAAGAGAATCAGACAAATCCAGCCATCCAGTTTCCAACGGGGAGACTTGTCATGTTCCAGAAACTGCTTCAAAAATGAAATTTGATCTGAACGAAGGTTTTGCCTCGGACGATGGAAAATGCAGCGATGCAATCAGCACGCCAGTCGCTGTCGGTGGGTATCCGACCGGTGTTCATGTAATCAATCCATTATCATTTCCTGTCCCAGCTTCCATCACTGTAGCTGCTCCTGCCAAAGGCCCTTTCGTGCCACCCGAGGAGTTGTTGAGATTCAAGGGTGAGAGGGGAGAATTTGGATGGAAAGGTTCTGCTGCCACAAGTGCATTTCGTCCGGCAGAGCCAAGAAGAATGCACGACACACCTCTTACCTCAATAAGTTCATCTCGTTCCACTGATGCTCCCTCAACCTGCAAACCGAGCCGTCCCTTTTTAGACATCGATTTGAACGCTCCAGGTGAATGCTGTTTAGAAGACGAAGCCGGATATTCTGCTCCCGTAGAGATTATTAGCTGTATCTCTAATCAAAAGAAAGAAGAACCGAGTTCTCCATCTGTTCGTAGTTCGGGAGGGGGCCTTGATCTTGATCTGAACAGAGTTGATGAGCCTAGCGATGTGGGACAGTGCTCATTGAGGAGTGCTGGTCATAATATATTGCAGGGACCCATTGAACTGCCCAAACAGTTACAACCACCAGGCAGGTTGTCTCGTGAGGTTAGAATGGACTTTGACTTGAACAACGGTCCTGGTGTCGATGATGTCACTGTAGAACATTCATTATTCCAACCGAATAGCCGTGGAAGTATCCGAATGAACAATCCGGAGATGGGGAACTTCGCTTCTTGGTTTACACCCGTGTGCAGTTATTCAGCTGTCACTGTTCCATCAGCAATGTCTGATCGAGGTGGGCCACCACCACAACCACCATCGCAGCAGATCAGTCCCTTTCCTCCTGATCTTTATCGCGGCTCAGTTTTGTCATCATCACCTGCTGCAGTCCCTTTTCCTTCTGCTGCTGCTGCTTCGTACCAGATTCCCATGTTTCCTTTTGGCACGACAAACTTTCCTCTCCCTTCCACAAGCTTCCCGGTCGGGTCCACTCCATATATCAACTCCTCTTCTGGTGGAAGGTTATATGCTCCCTCCGTCAATTCACAGTTACTGGGCTCCGTAGGTGCTGCTTCATCACCTCATCAGTTTCCCAGGCCGTACATGGTTGCCCTTCCGGACAACGGCACTGGTAATAATTTAAAATGGGCCAAGCAAGGACTGGACCTGAATGCCGGGCCTGGAACCATTGATCTCATCAATGGTGGAAGGGATGAATCCATCCTTTCAAGACAACAACTGTCTCTTAATGATCAACAGGTACTACTAGCAGCGGACGAGCAGCATGCATTATATCATCCAGCAGCTGCCGGAAGCATCATGAAGAGGAAAGAGCCTGATGGAGGATGGGGGGATAATGATAGCTTCAGGTACAGCAAGCAATCCTTATGGCAATAACAGCTTGCCTAAAAAGATGCCATTCGGCTCAGCTCTTGAATTGCAGTAAGTTTTCTTTCCTCAATATCCTCATTTTCATTACCTCATCCATCCAAAAAATCAGTTTCAAGATCTTTTATACCACAACACAAGTTTGATTTAAAAGTCAATTCATTGTAAGCCGAGACACAAGCGGTTTTAATCAATCGCTCCATAAATGCCTGAAATATTTATTTAGGAACTTAAGTGATCATTCATGCCATGTAAAGGGTTGCACATTGGTGGAGTTGATTAAAAAACCAATAAGTTGTACCCCAACCTCACTCAAGTCTCAAACACGACTTTTTTTCGGGACAGGGGGAGTATTAAGTTTTGTTTTAAGTAACTAGTGAATGATTATGTAACTAGTTGATTAAAGTGATCTGTTTCTTTTCTTTTGGAAATAATGTGATGCAACTAATAATTGTGTACTTTAAGATGACATTTGCAATTCATTTGGAGGGTGTTAGGATAGTTGGGAAGGGCACAGTTTGACAGTTATTACAATGTGACATTATGTTCTTACTGTATATGAAAAAAACATTTTCATACGTTCAAATTTACAAATTCAACAATAAAAACACAATCAAATTACACTCCTAACATTCAAAAAACATCAAGTTCATAAAATTCTCCCAAAAGTATTGCAGAACAACATGATTCATACTCATAACCACATAAACTCAAATCCAAACCTCTATTGAACAAATACAATATGACATAAATACAAACATAAATGCATTTGTGTTTATATGAGTGCTAAGATTCCATGAAAGCATTGGAATCCTCAGTCTACACTTTCCTAGTCTATCAAGCATCTCGCTCGTGGCTTGTTAATTGTTATATGCTCCACCCATTTCAAAGCGAAGTTTATATTTTCCTTTTTTGGATGTCCCATAATAACATTTTCATGAATATAGGTGTAAATTGTATTTTGAGACTAACACACACACACACTCTCTCTCTCTCTCTCTCTCACACACACACAGATGCACATTATTCTATACTTTGTTGCCCATTTGCTATTTGCTTTGTTTTTTTTCAGAGTCGGGTGGATTGAACGCCGGCTGTGGTTTGAAGGAAGGTGGATGGCCCTTGGTTTTACCCTACACCACACCGATGTGCTTGGGGGCGCGCTTAGTTGAACCACCTCTTTCCGGAGCAAAAGTCGTGCGCGGGGGCGAAAGGCCTCTTCTTTGTCTGGGGCCATCTTTTTTTTTTTCTTTCTTTCTTGGTGGGTTTTGAACATATGTTTTCCCTCTGTAGATACTTAACTGTTGGGAAACTTGTAAAAAAAATCCACCCATAAAAGAGGAGGAGCTTAGTGACCCCTTTAGTTGAATATGAAATACAGCACCCCAGAAGGAAAAAAAAAACAAGAAAAAAAGAGAGAAACTTTGACATTTGACAGGAATTTGTTGGCATTATGATGATGATGATGAGTCCCAATCTTTGTATGCATCAGTTATATATGTATTTCCTTGTTTGTTTTTCTTTTTCGCCGCTTTATTATTATTATTATTAATATAAGTACGAGTACTAGAATATTATATTATGAGCCCTATTCTTTTGACACCAAGGGTTAGTAATTTAGTATTATAATTCGAAATAGATTATACGGAGTAATTTTTTTTTTCTCTTTTTTCACGATAACTTTTGTTTATTTGTGTGTGTTTTAATTGAGTACTTGATAAAATGAAATGTCATGGGTCGTTCTTTCTAAGGTCAAAAGAATCTTGCTGATTACGGAGTGTTATATTACACTAGTTTTTAATTATAGTTATGTTGGGTCTGTCTCGGAGTATTAGTCAATTTTTTTTTTGGTAAAAATTAATAAGCTTTGATCCCAAATTTAATTGTCGATTGTTTTAGGTTTTTTTTAATTAAATATATTGCCTATCCAATACTCCATTAACTGTCCAATTTTTTCATTTCAGTATTTGTAGAAATTATTAAAGAAACAATGGCGTTGTGTCATCAGTGTATTGCATTGGACAATTAATTTCAAGAACTCACATGATATGTTACTTTTTCTTTAAAGCTTTTTTGAAAGTAGTTGTCTAATATAGAACTAATCATTTATCACAACACACATGAACTACTTTGGATGCTTATTACAAAGTCGTGAATCATGCATTGCTCTAGCTTTCCTCATTTTGACCTAAGTCTTCTCACACATATTTCTTCTTTTTTTTTTTTAATAAAATGATTTGAATTCTTTTTTTTAATTTTCTTAATTTACCCTTTTATGCTATACAAATATAGGAAAAATAACTCTTTCTCGTCTTTTTCTCCTCAACCTTCGACATGATGTCAAACTATCGGTGTCAAACTCAAGGATTTTTAATATTTTTGATTGATGGTTTTCCTTTTTGTAAAACAACAAGTTTACAACTCGTTTTGCGAGCAAGACATTTTTTTATATAATGTGTTCTAAAATCTGCAAAAAGTAATATAATTTGTGAAACTTAAAATGAAAATGTTTTGATAATTTTGAAATCTACGTAGTAATATGATTGTCAGTGACAAATAAGAGATGTCCGATGACAGTGAGAGACATCAAAATCGGGATATATCAAAACAACCTCCTTTGGGAGGATTGTAACATCACGAGATATGAAACCCGAACGAGCTCTTTTTATGCTTCACCAAACGCCGACAAAATAGTTCTAAGGAGATGGTATATGTTCTTGATGTTTAAAGTTTAAACTATTCTTGTCCTCTTGGACCAATGCGTTCTTTAGGACAGACATATTAGCAACAACATTCAAAATTCCACCACAAGATCACTCCATTCTTGCTTTGTTTTTATGAATGTCTTGATATGATTTTGAAGGGAAAAAAAACTCGCACACGAAGAATAGGGCTACCACCAAGAGTACATGAGCGACAAAATTTGGAATAGAATATCTAATGTCGTCTTCTCTTCCTACACGAGCACGAGGGTTACAAAATTGGGGATGAAAACATCTAATTGCGTCTTCCTTTTGCAAAGGCAAACCATCATTGGAGTTTCCACCTGCAAGAAAAAGAACAATTTGAAAATAATTCTTAGTTTTTGATTTGGAGAACCCATTTGGAACTGGGAAACGCGCCAGAGACGCTTTTAGATTCTGTCGTCAAAACAATCGTTTTTTAAAAACTGATTGTCACATAGGAACACGTAATTGTCATAAACCAGACCTCGTTAAACACCGAAACCGACAATGTGACAACAGATAAGTTTGGGAGATGGTCAGTTCAAAAGATGATAAGAATAATATACCATTTGTTGTTTATGCAAGGACTCTCCCAAATAATATCCCACTGAAAATGAGAGCACCAAACCATTTGTTGGACACAAATCTGCACCATGCAAAAGACAAAATATAATGTGTTCATCATTGTGCCCATTTTAGAGCCTAAAATAGTTTCAAATATTTTCATGGAGGTAAAATTTATTATTCCCCTTGACGTCATTTATTTCAATACCCCATTTTTCTCACTAAAAGCCATAGTTAACTAAATGTTTAAATTACACAAGCTAAGCAACTAGGTCATACTCCGTATTAGTTAATTCTCTTGGGTTAATAATTTGGTCATGTCTACCCTCCCGAAAAGATCATATAAAGGACAAGAGGGAGTATGTGAATGTTTAAGTATCAGAAAAGGCTACTTCAAATATACAGAGTGCTTACTTTCTACTGCAATCCGCTCCAGATGATAGGTCCACTGTCCAAATCTGCCATGCTAATTGGTAAGTTGCAGCTACCAAAAAGGCATAATATGGCCACCCTGGTCCAGTTAATCCAACACAAGAAAATCAAGCAACAATTAATTTTTAAAAAAGTCACTACAGCATCTTAGAAATAGTCTCATGACCTGATTGGGGTTAAAAGAAAGATGCAAAAAGGATAAATACCAATATCAGCATTGTATCCACACAGAGCTAGACTACTGGTGCAAGCTAATCCGAACCCAGCAATCCAATCTTTCGTTGAATCCCCAAATCTTAAGGCTGTGGATTTGACACCGACTTTGAGGTCATCGTCTTTGTCCTGGATTGTAATATACTCGAGTATTTGAGTGCAAAGAAAACCTTTATTCTATTTGCGTTCGCAAAAGAGTAGCCAATAAATTCCACCTTGTATAAATTGATAATTTTCCAGCACTATCACCAATATATAAACATTAGAAGGCCCCAATAAAAGGAAAATTCTTTTCATCATTAAATGATTTGGTAAGGATGTTTTAGCTTCTAATGATCTAATCTCACACAGATGCATAAATATAACAGGGAAACCATGCAGCGTTCTTTGATGTTTTGAAAACATAGTTGTCTCCGTACACACACACACCCCATACCCTACTTTTGTGGGATTCTACTGGGTTGTTGTTGTTGTTGTTGTTGTTGTTGTTGTTGTTGTGTAGAAACGTAGTTGTCTCAATGTGAATCATTAATTGTTGCTCAAATTTTGAATTGTTAAACATGAATCCATTCATATTGTACTGTTCAGAAGCATATTAAAAGAATGAATATTTATACCTAGAGAATGAACAAAATGCTCATAAGACTGTAAATTGTACATAAGTTGTTTGCTAAAAAGCAGTTACATTTCACCATATAATCATCATCAAAGAAATAGTAAACACTACATTAAATTTATCTATTAATGCCAAATTCTAAAATACCATCATAAGGCACTAATGCACACCCGATTCTTAGTTTCTTGCCCAATTTGAACTGCTTTGGTATTAGAAGTTTAAAAAGCATACTCTGTGTTTCCTAGCGTTGCTATTAGCTACAATATAAAATAAGAATCAAGCCTGCAGGCTTAATTAATGTTACTGCTTATTTAAGTCCTTTTTATTTTCCAATATCTTATAAATACTTCATATTCAAGATCCCATTTCAGATGATAATTCAATAAAATTCAATACCTGATGAGCATATATAGTGTCATATACAAGTGTCCAAAACACACCGGATAAATAAAGTGGCAGCACAACAGCAGGATCAAGACTACCTTTAATGGCAGCCCAACCTAATAATGCTCCCCAATTAAAAGTTAGTCCCAAGAAAGCTTGAGGCTGCCCATAAACAGTTTTAGAGATCAGAAAAACACCCAAAGTAACCAAACTGTTCAATACAAACAGGGAGACAGAGAAAGGATGAAGTATTCTCACCCAAAACGTCAGCCTCTTCATGAGGGGATAAGAGAAAACCAACAACAAAGAAGAAGCTCCTAAAACACGGCTGCATGAAAACAGTTTCAGTCCACTATGGGGCAATATGTTTATGCGAAAGATAACAACACTCAGTCAGTAACAATACATACTGTAAATTTATCAAATATGATAAAATAGGAAGACCACAACCAACTTCAGGTTTAATAATTCAATACTACATTGAGGTCATGGCCATGCAATGACTTGCATGGTATTAGTTCCAATAATTGTTAGAGTAGATGACAGATGATTTGAGAGAGTTGGGTCTGTTTGGATGGAAGCTTTTTGAAGGGTTTTGAGGGCTTAGTCTATATTTTTATACTCCGTATATGTTTGAGATCTTATAAAATTGAAAGCTTAATTTATACTGCCTGCGTCCCATAAAATCCTTGACACTTTTAATTCACGGAGTTTCAGAAAGCTGTTGAGAAGTAAAAAGTGTGTGGTTATAATTTGTTTGGAAGAGAGAGAATTGTTGGCACACATATTCATTACCAATATAGGGAATAAAGTGTAAGGTTTTTTGATTGTATAACATTTGATCATGTTTTATTCTTTCAAGTTTCAAGAAAACATTGTAGTTATCAAGATAAATGCTATGTCATCCAAAGCCTTCCCCTCCAACATCCTCCATTTAAACAGACCCTAGGAAAGGTGTCCAGAAAACACTCCCTGCCCACTTCCCCATCTCACACGATACCACCAGAAAAGTGAGTTTAAAAAAACTTAGAGATCCATCAACTTCAGTTTCACTAATTCCTTATCACATCTAAGCTTAAAAATAGTTCTATTTTTTTCTTTAACAAAACTGTGAAACACTCCTTATGAGGGCCATGAGTCTGATACTAATTACCAGTGGAGTACAGGGTTTATGTCACAACAAAATCTCACCAACCACCTACGGACTTCGTGAAAAGTCAAATGTGAAGAAAGATATGGGACGGAGGGAGTAACTAATAATCAACATAATTCATACGTTTAAGATTGTTGGATGAAAAATACACTACAAGATTGAAACAATGATAATCACAGTTATAACTTAACTATAACTATAAATATAATATACTGTTTCGGATTGATATCTTCAGTCTTCGTATATAAACATGCTAGACATAAAAAATAAGTTTAGAGGAGCATCTCTGGAGAAATGGGAACCAAAGTGGGGTGCATCCAACATAATTATACGACCAATATAAGGTATGGAGTAATATATTATATGCATGTCTAATACAAAGGTAACATAATTAAACACCAACCTAAAATTGTTTAGTTGTAGAAGGATCCCAAGACCTAAAAGCAACTGAAAGCCAAGAAAACACAGCCCCTGAAATGGCGTCAAAACTCCACTGGCAATTGGCCTCAACCTTGTTCTCTCTACCTACACAGTAAAACTTTCAGATAGCCAAATAAGAATTCAAAATAGAACTACCCAATGGATAGGATCATCCAGATAACAGTAATTGTTGGAGGTTAGAAGCAAAGGCATATTAAGTAGGAGTTTTATGACCAAAAGACAGTGTGGAGTTAATTGTGGGAAAGGGAGTACTGACCATTCTAGAGTCATGACCAAAATGGGAAAGGTGTGAAATTTTATTTTGGCAAACAAAAAGGGAAGTGTGGAGTTAATTGTGGGACAAAGGGAGTACTAAATTTATTCAAGAATATACCCCGGAGTAAATCAGTAAAAAAAATAAATTTAAACAATTGGGTAGAGGTCAATTTCTTTAATTTTTCCATTTTTTTTGCTTTTGTCAAGTCTTCACAGAAACAGGTTCTACCTACAATTTATCCTCCTACATGCATCTCATTCTCCGACTCTACTTTCAAGTGGGACTTGCTGAGTTTGTTTGGGATGGTAATTGAGAAATTTGAATAAAGAATTGAATATCATGATATTTTAAAGTCTTGGATTGACAATTTCAATCATTCAAGGCCTGAACCAAAAGTTTTCACCTTTTAAATCCTAATTTGACAAATAACCTCTCAAGATTTGAAATGATAAAACTCTTATTCAGTATCATATTAGATGCAACATGCAAGGTTACGTTTATTTTCCATTAATGTCGTGAGAAAGCATTTGTGAATCAAAAGCCTTAATTACCTTCACATCAATGTCACGATCAAGTAGATCATTAATGGTGCATCCAGCACCTCGTAGAAGCAAAGCTCCACAACCAAACAGAGCCATCATCTTAACATCAGGTATACTCCCCGGCGATGCTGCGAGAGTAATTGACCTACAAGAATAGAGCTGAAAATAAATAAATTAATGGAATACATCAAATCTTATTTTGTGAAGGCAGAGAATGCTTGGCTTACCACATGCAAGGCCAAGCGAGTAACCAAGTCCCAATGGCATTATGCAGTCGAGCCAAATGGGCATAGGGCCGAACTCTTTGGGGCAAATACAAATCAATCCAAGAAGATTTCGGCTCATTCTTAGGTTCTGAGTTGCCTAACGTGGAGAAATATAAATACTGCTGGAGACCCAAATGTCCAATTTTTGGAGAAGATGAGTGTATGAAGTACCTCGAATATAATTTTTCAAAATCTTGAATAGAATTAGAGGGACGTGAAGAAGAGGTCTGGGAAGGGTTGTTGTTTAGGATGGAATGATGAGTGGAACTAGAGCTAGGATTTTGTTGATTCCAGGGTATGGAAAGGACAGCAATTGATGGCTGAAAGTAACGATGGAAGCCATAGGAAGCTCTAGAGAAACGATGCAATGCCATATTTGTACTCTCTTGGATGTGCAAAGCAAGTTAGGTCAGAAATTCAGAAGGGTTATGTACATTAGAGCCTGAGTGGGTTAATGTGCAAAATCAGCGTGGTCAATCACCAATCAACATGAACCCCTTGGCAGGGGATACAACCAGAAGGTATTAATGGTCCAATTCACTCAAGCATGATGAACTTCCTTTGAGGTGTCAATAATAGCACACTTGAACTTAAACCCCTATATAGTTGCACAAGAAAAAAAATAGAGAAAAGAAAATAAGACTCCCATAATGGGTGAAAATATGAAATGGTTTATATTCTCATTTTAAAAAAAAGTGCACAATCTTGAAATATCAAATGCAAAAAATTTGAAGAGTAAAGTTATGGGCATAGTGGGTCATGCATGAAATCCCCCTTCAACATAATAAGGAAGCCATATCACACCATACTTACAGATCATTTTTGTCAAATTCATATCATTCCATCCCAAAAACTTTTCCTCAACTTTTCACTACCCCAAACTTAAATACTAATACCATATTCTAACCAAAGGTGCTTCATAGTTATGTTTTCAAGGTGCACTCTAAAGCCATTTTCAACTTAAATATTAGAGTTAGTTGCCCTAAACTGTCCCCAAATTTTCAAGCTTTTCAATTATCTACAGAATACTTTCAGAAATTACAAAATTACATATAAATTTACATACTTCCAAATAGTAAAATAAAATGTCATTGGGTTGCTCGTTCAGGTTTCATGCAGTGCCAGGCTGGCAGCTAAATAGAAAAAGAATGTTTTATTCTAAAATTAAAGATGCAGGAGAACCAAAATATTGTAATGTGGCTTATATGTAAAAACAGACTGCTTACTAAGTGTAGATTTAATTAGTATCTGGTTAGGGATCTGGAATGCACTCTTTGTGGAGGGGCAAACGAAGATTGCCAACACCAATTTTGCAATTGTCCTTATGCAGGTGAAATCAGAAGAGGCTTGTCATCATGGATAGGATATGATCTGGCTGGAGACTCTGTCAAAGAAAGAAAAGCTAGTTTGAAGAATATAAAGCCCAGGAACAAAAGAAAAGTGACTAGAGCTATATACGCAGCTACCTGCTATGGGATTTGGAAAGCAAGGAATGCAAAGATTCACAAGTAGGAGATTAACATGGAGGACAATATCAAGTGGATAAAGTAAGATATAAAGAGTATAAAACCTTGGAGTAGTTAGGAGGTTGTTTGTGTTTGTTGCTTTGTTTCTGAGCTGAGATCGAGTGTTGTATTTGTTGATAACGTTATTTCAATGAAAAGCTGCACTTTGTTCAAAAACAAATATAGTAATTGAAGCCCAAGTCCCAATTCATTTGAAGAAGTTGTGTGAGGAAGCAAAAATGTTAATTAAGGAAGTCAAGGCTTTATTGAATAGAGACCCTTGTTTTTCCCTTCTCCCGCATCTCTATATTATACTAGAATTTCCAGTTCTTATTTAGCGGAAACCGCATAAACCTAAACAGGAGGTTGAAAGACTTTTCAGTTGAATAAAAATTAAAGGAATATGTATATGTGCGTTAGTATCTTCCTTTATTTCTTGGGTACCAAGAACTCCTGTAAGGAAATCTGCTCCAAAAATGTTCCTCATCAATTTCCCAAGACAATTATCCACAACAATTCAAGAACTAATGAGACCACTCCAACCTGAGACAGTCTCCTGCTATACACTCTCACCCTTAGACTGGACCAGAATATGATACTATAAAAGTGGAAATGAATACTTCTTCAAAAAAAACTGTCATTTGAATATATTTACTTTCAACATTAAAGGCATAACATTTAGGCTCCTTCTCACAAAAGTATTGTCCTCCAACTATCAGTCAATAAGAAAATCCAACTACATTAGTCAGAATTCAGTGACAATACATAAACTGAAGTACCTAAATCAGAAACAGCACATGGAATTAGGCAAACTAAAAATTTAAATTCAAATTTCAAACAACGATCCAAGCATCCAACTAACAGATCAGACGGATTACCAGGCAGAGATATGAGCTGCGACAGAAGTTGCAGGTGACGAAGGAGAACTGCGATTAGAACGAACGAATAACTGTGAGCTGCTCAATGAAATTGGAACTCGCCGACGACCGGACGAAGAGAGGAACCGGCCGGCGATGATTTCCGGAATCAGACGGCGGTGGGAAGGCCGGGCGATTGGGTGTGGAACTGCGCTTTGCGCTCAATGCCGTTTACCGCTAGATTCACTCTCAGAGCAAAACGCCGTCGTTTTGGTTGATATTTTCTTGTAAAAAAACACCATGGTTTATACTTTATAAGTTTATAGGCATCTTTGAAACTTGCTTTTCACTATTTTGAATACGGAGTAAAATAAATTTTTAAAATGGTACTCAATTATTATTTTGTATATTTTTTTTCAAGTTAGTAATAGATGAAATAATTGTCAAATTGGTACTCGTTAATTGAAAAAAAGTTCAATTACTCATTCATTCACGGTCAAAATCGTGTTAAAATGACTTTAAAAGCATGTACTAATTTTCTAAAATGGTCCTTTCGAATTGACTGCTTTTCCTAACTAGTCCACTTTTGAAATAAAAATTCATTAACTATAGAAAAATATTTCAAAATTTTCCATGATGAGAATATAATAAATAAACTTTAAATATATTTTAATAATTTAAAAATAATGTTTCGGATTGTTTAAAATTATTTAGAAGAATACGATGTTAATAAAATATTTAATAAATAGTTACATTTTTTCTAAAATTAAAATCCTACTTTGGTTTAAGATATTACATTTAAAGATTTACAAATTTGAAAGTAATTGTTTAGAAGATTATCATGTAAATAAAATATTTAATAAACGTTATCTACTCCCTCCGTCTCGGAGTATTTGTCCAGTTTTGATTTTTGGAACTGTTCATCTAAGCACTTTGACTCATCAAATTCTCTCAATGTGTAAGCCTAAATATAGTTATGTGTGATCTTGTTTGATTTGTCTTAACATATAGATTATTAATAAATAATTTCTATAATTTTTTAATATACAAATTACAAGATAAAATGGATTAAAGAAGTGTATCGGATGGTGTGTAAAAATGAAAGTGGACAAATACTCTGGGACAGAAGTAGTATTAAATTAGTCAAGTCTCGCAATGCATAACAGGAAAGCCTATGAAAGACAGGGGGAGTATTATTTCGTGGAGCATATTATATTATACTCTATATAAATTAATTATAAGGAGTAATTTAATTTATATTCTATAATCCGTAAATTATAATACATGAAACCATTTTTAAACATAATTTCCTTTATACCAAGTTAACAAGTAGTTTTTTTTAGGGAAAGTTAACAAGTAGTTAAAAGTAGTAAAGTTTGCAAAACATATTTTCAATAGATAGTCAAATAACTTATTCAATCAGTCATTTAAATAAAGCTCACATTCGAGAAAAGTTGTTAGAGCACTAGAAGTGTTACAAATTACGTACGGATTACAATGGACGAAGAAAATGAACGGCCCTAGAAAATATTAAATATATTCAGAATTTATACTTTATTCAGAATATGACAAAACAAATTAAACAAAACTGAAAATAATGACTTTCTAGATCTTCAAATGTCTTTGCTATACATGGACATTATGCACTGAGCTACAAGGACATTATGCACGGACTGAAGTAGTAAGTCAGGGATGAAGTCACTGTGAGAGGTAGCGAGGTCACTGGAGTAATGCTGAGGTCATTATGGCTAGTACCAGAACACCGGTGAAGATATTACGGCTTGAGGCAGAATGCAGCGAGGTCGTTATGAACTGTACTTGCAAAACCAAAAATCGTGAAGGACAGCGAAGTTGCTGGAGCCGTCCTTTAGGTAGTAGTGCCTGCCTACTGTACCGGAAAAACGTGGGCACTCTCCTCCTGGGATAAACCGATTTCGTGTGTGGTGATTGTTTGGACCAACACACCAACGAACATGAGCAACGTGGGATTATTAATGACCAAAAAACCTTGAAGGGAATCGTCAGAAATTCAAGATCTCTCTCTTTAAAAATGAAGAAGGATTTCCTTTTCTCTTCTTCTTCTCCTCTCATGTATGGAACCCACATACAATGAGAGAACCCCTTGATTTTCATAACTAGGCATTAAAAGTTGTAATATATACACACGTAATGCTTGGTATTAAATCATGACATTAGTGGCATACTAATGGTGATTAAGTAGTCATTAATACGTGTGTTACGCTACGCTCCGTTTAAAATTCGTCTTGAATAATAGAGATTAATGGTCAGTTAATTCCGAAAAAATTGACTAATACTTTTAAACAATACATAAAAAATAATAATAGAAGATTGGTTTAATAAAATTGTAATTCTTACCGTATTCTTCTATTAATGGGTTAACTTTGAGAATCAATAACCATTTTTGGTGTATATATTATCAAAATATATATCTTATATAAGAGAACATACATTCATTAATTAATAGTTAAAACTATTAGTGAACCTATTGATAAACATACTCAAATTAGTTCATTTAATGTTTATTAAAAATGCCAAAAATTTAACAAGAAGAGGGTAAACCGTTAGTAGGAAGTGGAGGAAAAAATGATGGCAAAACAGAAAGAGAGTTCTAAAAAGGAAAACACAATCATATCAAATCATAGATAAACAGAAGAGAAATTCTCTTTTGTGGGTGTTATGAACCTTTAAATTCAATTGTGCCATGCACTCCCTTCTATTCGTTTCACCATTTTGCTACTTCATCAACTTGACATAATTCTTAAAGAAATACTCTCTCCGTCCCGGATTATTCGTCCAGTTTTGACTTTTGGAAATATTCATCTAAGTACTTTGACTCATCAAATTCTCTCAATGTGTAAGCCTAAATATAATCATGTGTGATCTTGTTTGATTTGTCTTTAACATATAGATTATTAATATATAATTTCTATAATTTTTTTAATATACAAATTACAAGATAAAATGGATTAAAGAAATGTATTGGATGGTGTGTAAAAATGAAAGTGGACAAATACTCTGGGACGGAGGTAGTATGAGATAAGACTGATTTTAATTTGTAACAACTAGTGAAAATAAATATGGAGCAAGTAATGTTTTCTTTAAAAGAAATTAAAAGAATAAATTTGCCATTCTTAATGTTTGTGAATATTTGTAAGAATGTTAGGATGAAAAGTGAGATTAAGATTAAAGCGGCCTTTAGCAATTTTTTATTCAATATGAGCACTTCCCGACCTAGGGCACACACTGACACAAAATATCAGTGTCATCACCGATCGTAAAACTTTGCATTGTGATTTTGTACCGGTGTGTGTTATTAGTGTTCCAGTGCAAAGAACTGGTGCGCGACTTGGTGTACACAAGTGGTATGCAAGTAGCTAAGTTAATACTAGAATATTATTGGTTAAGCTCATAAAAGACTGCCCCTATGTGCTCAACTAACCCTTTTTTATTGTTACCATACAGTTTGAATTTTATGCGCCTGCCACTGAATATGAGTGAGATAGGAGATAGGAGATGGGGTTGGAGTGATATTTGGCAAAGTAGAATAAGATAAGATTAATCCTGAGACATAGCTCAACTGGAAAAGACACTAGGTAAGCTTTGTTGACGACCTACAAGGTTAGGGTTCGAATCCTAAAAACAACTATCTGGATTCGATCCCTTGTAGGTTAGATTAGTCGCGACAAAAATTTACTATATTTGTTCAGTTGAATCACATACCACTATGCCACGATCTACTTCTTCTACTAACACAGGACAAGATGTGATTCCATTTTTTTAAAAGAAAAGATTAGATGAAATCTAAGTCATACTCCCTCCGTCCCCCTTTATTTGTCCAGTTTTGACTTTTGGAACTGTTCATCTAAGCACTTTGACTCATCAACTTTTCTCAATATGTAAGCCTAAATATAGTCATGTGTGATCTTGTTTGATTTGTCTTAACATATAGATTATTAATATATAATTTTTATAATTTTTTAATCTACAAATTACAAGATAAAATGAATTAAAGAAGTGCATTGGATGGTGTGTAAAAATGAAAGTGGACAAATACAGAGGGACGGAGGGAGTAGGAAGTAGTTTAATTGATATGACCCATTTGACTTTTTAACAAAAAACCAAAAAAGTCTTATGCTAAGGAGAGAGATAAAACAATCCTACCCAACAATGAGATGCCCTCCCCACTTGAGGTAAAGTCAATGTGTGAAATAGACGTGTAAATGCCTAGTGCGCTACCAAACTCATACTCTACAGTCCACACCAATTTGACTTTTCACTAGAATGTCATTTTACATTTAAAAACCAATTTTATTTGGTTTTTTAAAACTTAATTTATTTTAAAATCAACACAATTATATTTTATTGTGCTAAAAGAAATATGAATTTGTTCATGAAATTTAATCAGAATTATATCCTAATTCAATTTATATTGAAATAAGTAATCCCCAAAATGAATACTTCTGTCACTATTACGATTTCTCGATAACTTTTGTTTATTTGTATATTTTTATTGATAATTTGATAAAATAAAATATTTTTGTCGTCTCTTGTTTTATAAAACTTTTCTTATGTATTTTAAATGGTGTGATTTATACTTTTATTTCTATAATAATTTGTAATTAAAATAATTTATAAATGATACTACCTCCTTTCCAGAGTATTTATCCACTTTCATTTTTACACACCATCCAATGCACTTCTTTAATCCATTTTATCTTGTAATTTGTATATTAAAAAATTATAGAAATTATATATTAATAATCTATATGTTAAGATAAATCAAACAAGATCACACATGACTATATTTAGGCTTACACATTGAGAGAATTTGATGAGTCAAAGTGCTTAGATGAACAGTTCCAAAAGTCAAAACTGGAAAAATACTCTGGGACAGAGGGATTAAGATTTTACACGTTTTTTGAAGTGTGGCTTCTAATATACGGAGTAATCAATAACATTCAAAAAAAATTAAACTACCCTACCAAGATAAAAAATTCAGCCAATTACTTGTAGTGGCAGTCACATAGTTCTAGTCTCTTACTCTTTCCCTCAGGAAAAATATGTCACAGTCAAGTATTTAAAAATTACAAGAACGTTTGCTTATTTATATATTTTTTCATTAATTATTTTATGAAATAAAATATTCCGTATTATTTATCATTTTCTTTTTTGAAGAATTTTGACGTAATTTTTAAATATGTAAATTTTACTTTTTATTTTGTATATCAAACATTAAATAAAATAATTTGAAAAAACTTGAAATTTCCTTTTTGCGTGATGTGGCAAACATTTTGGGAGGGGTGAGTATTTATTTATACTCGGGTAGTGAATTTGATTTGATTTGTCAAGTCCAAATGTCAACTCTCCCTTCCTCTCTCGCTCCCAAGCTCCGTGCACACAACCTGTTTGCGAAAATGTCTGAAAGAAAATCGCCATGAAAACTCTTCTTTTCTCCCCCCCCTTCTCCTTCCCATTTCCATCTCCCTCAAGTTGCAAAAAACAAGAAAGAAGAAGCAAAAATTACAGTCATATGCCACTCTATTGAGTGAGAAAAAACCCATCAAAATATGAGTGGAATTAGCTCAAATCTGCTACTAGTGATAGTGATCATAGCCATCATCTTCTTCCTCTTTGGCATTCTCCATCTCCTCACCAGACACTTCATGGCCACTTCTTTTGCTTCTTCTTCTCATCAATCCCGGGAAGACGAAGCTTCGTCTTCTTCTTCTTCTTCTTCTCCGGCCTCCCAGCTACAGCACCTCTTCCGCCTCCACGACTCCGGCCTCGACCAGTCCATCATCGACGCGCTCCCCGTCTTCCGCTACAGCGAGGTCGCGAATGGCGGCTCCGCCGCGGAGCCGCCATTCGACTGCTCGGTCTGTCTCAGCGAGTTCTCCGCGAGGGACTCGCTGAGGCTGCTCCCGTTGTGCTCCCACGCCTTCCACACCCACTGCATTGACACGTGGCTCCTCTCCAACTCCACCTGCCCCCTCTGCAGGTCCCACATTGGCTCTGCAGCGGCGGCAGTGGAGACAGGGGGAGGGGGCCATTCGTTGTCGCCGCCTGTCTGCGGCGACGAGGCGAGAGATCACAGGACCGGAATTAGCAAGAGGGTTTTTTCGGTTCGGCTGGGGAAGTTGAGAAGCTTGGTCGGCGGTGGTGGTGGTGCGGCGGGAAGCGGCGGAGGCGGCGGTTTGGATGGGAGGAGATGCTATTCAATGGGTTCTTGCCAATACATTGTGGATGATAGAGAGATGAAGGTAGTCAAGGTTGATCATCATGGAGGAGATTATGATATTACTAATGACAATTATAACAATAATGATAATGTTGGGAGCAAGAGGATTATTAGTGCTAGAGCTAAAGGGGAAAGCTTTTCTGTTTCCAAGGTTTGGCTTTGGTCCAAGAATAATAAAGGTAAGAGCTCTTCTTCATATGTAAATGGTAATGGAAGTTCTCAATTAAGTTTGATTGTGTAGATTTATTAGTGATTGAAGAACCAAGAAAAATCCCACAGAAAAAGAAAGAAGAGGATCTATGTATGTAGGGAGGATTTATGATGTTGCATTTTCTTTTAATTTTTTTTGTTATTATGAGAAATTGTTAATTTAGTCCTTTTGTCGTTGTGATTTTCGTGATGGTGTAGCCATTTATTGTCTGTAATTTACGGTAATTCTGATCATCGGATATTGAAAAAACTGAGCATCTAATCCCGCACATTCGCATCGTGATTATGAAGTTTTTGAGCAACTTTACTGATTATTTTTGTTTTGAGAAAGGTATTTTAATATACATATTCTAGAGTCAAGTTGATATTAATGTAATATCCATAGCTTAGAGTTTAGATAAAATAATTAGTGTGAAAAAAGAGACATTTTTTTTTACTAAATTTACTCTTAGTGATGCACACACTAAGGTNGTGGGGTGTGGAGAAGGCACTATGGTGTGTTTCCCCTTATATATGGTTGAGACATAATTTAAGGTTGTCTCATTCCACTAACAAATGTTTGTTATAATATCTCCTTTGACATTTATTCTATTCAATCATCATTCAAAGAAACTGAAGTAAAATAAGTATTTCAATTGTAGGAGAATTAAATGATAGTTACACAAGAATGAAAATGCCTCATATTTAATGTTAGCAAGTAATAAAGAGTAGTGATATTTTTTCTTCTAAACTTAATACCAAAATACACACTTAAATTTTTTAAAAATCACAACTTACTATGCTTTTTGGGGCGGATGCAGTATGTTAATGTTAACTTTGGGGTCATTTTTTAATGTCAAAGTAAACTAAATTTAAGCAGTACAATTGAAGGGAGAGGTGAATGGGTTTGGGTCGGGCCGCATCAATTGGGTTTACAAGTGGGTTTGGATGATAGAAACCATCGTTTTACGATTAGAGCATCGTATGCGCTCAAATGTTTGTTGGTACTATTTGGAGTCACTCAAAGTGTGTGACTCTAGAACCTCACTGTAAAACCGTAAAATTTTTAATATCTCCAGTTTGGTTGGGCTTTTCCAAGACTAGTTCAAGGTGCAACATAAAAAAATAGGGCGTTAGATTATACAGAGTATAACCTTTTTCAGTGTTGGAAAATATGGACGAGGGACAACGTTGCTTGATAATGTTAGAAGGATTGGTATACGTGACATTTACGAATAATGTTTGACCAAGACATTCGAATATATGCGTTAATTATTTCTGTAAACATCGTGTTCCGTAATTTTCTATACTAATCGTCTTGTCTAATCACGAAATACTTTAATGTTTAATTTAGACATTTGAAAGTATGCGTCCTTGCAAAATGTGATTTTGGTTATCACTAACTTAACATCTGAATGTACTCAGTATAATTTTATTCATTTGATAATTTATGACTCCACTAATGATAATTCAATGGAGAAAGACTGTAAACCTAAAACATTAAAAACATATCAAAATAGGATTTCCAGGTTTTTATTTTTGATATAGGACATAAAATGCAATTACATTACCAAACATGGTCATGTACAATCCAAAAAGTAGAGGAATGTGCACATGTACAATATCACATTACAACCACATTACTACAGTGTAAAGTCTTATTTCTAGTAAAAAAACATGAAAGTCTTATTTTAATACTTTTCTCTATATTTTAGTCTTATTTAAGGCGATTTTTATTAATTCAAAAAATTTTCATAGAGTAACAATGTCAAAAATAAAAAGGTATCAATCAGGGGCTTTGCCCTTTGGACCCTTCCAAGAGCTACTGTCCTTTGACCAGGCTACCGGACACTCTAGCTCCCAAGTCGTTGACTCTGTTACAAAATTTGTAATATTATTGAATGAACATGCACTCCGCACTGCCGATGACGTTAACACCATATTATTTATTAAACTTTTCATCCAATTTAAATAAATTTAATTAGATGAAATAGTTAAATAACATTGTGAAACATTTTGTGTATATCCCGACGAGGTTTCCGGCCGGTCAAATTCAAACTGCGCCATAGATCTAATATTCGAAGTTTCGAACGTGCTATGAAGAAAAAGTATACAAAAAGCCAAAATCTTTTTTCCACATCCGATTTATCAAGATTCTAGTCCTTCAAATAGAGGTGAACATATTTAATACTTTCATAATTTTAGATGTGTGTATCTTTTGGGTTGGGTAAACAGATAATACCCGTGACAGATATGTCATATTCGAATCTGATTAAGTTTTGAGATATCTAAATTCGTATCTGTATCAGACAAATATTTACATTTTTATATCTGAATCCGACAGATAATTCTTGGTTTAAGATATATCCAAATCCAATTTGCATAATCGAATCTGATCGAATATCCAAATCTGACCAAATATTCTAAACCGTTAATAAAAAATCCAAATGGTTAAAAAAAGGAATATGAAAATGAATACCGGAATCCATAATACTAAAAAACGTCGGAACACGTAAAGAAAATAATGGTAGTTTTTAATACACTGCAAAATGCCAAAATTTGCTTAAAAGAAGGCAATCTTCATTCTTCAATGCACCTTAAAATCACATGCCATTTTGCATCATTCCCACTTAAGAAGTGCAGACAGGATTATTCTATGAAAAAAAAAAGAATTTAAAGAAGGTTCCCAAAACAACCAAAAACCACAAATGCACTCATAAACCCATGAATATGACAATAAAAAAGTAGTCAATTAACAAAGGCAAGAACCATGTTTACCTGACACATAATGGAATGGTAAAGAAAAATGTTAGATTCACAAATAAAATTTTCACAAATTTCACAAATTTATTACGGAGTATTTGTGAATTTTTAATAAAGAAAATGAAGTAGTCTAAAATAAATTTAAAATGAAAGTTTAAGTCATAAATGATAAGTTTGTGACCATTTTATTTCTAAAACTAGCATTGCTCAATGGTAAAACCAATAAAGGCAAGTCATAGAACTTTGTTTAATGTTAGGGTTTTTTAAGGATAGAGGATAATTAAGGTTATGGACTAATGGTAAGGTTAGAGATAAGGTACAATCCGTATTATTGGATATCGATCTAGGCCAAGTATAATGGATATTTGGATAAACAATTATTTAAACAGACGTATATCCGAATCAGATTTTAAATGGATTAGATATGCAATTACATATTTTACATTTTAAAATATGTAATCTATACATACAATAAATTAAAGAAAAAGTTTTCACGTGCATGTCATTCAAAGTGAGACGATTCCTTTGAAATGAACAAACTGCAAAATTCTAGTCATTATTCAAAAACAAATAAGTGTCACTCAATTGGTCATGAGTCTGGTTTGACTCATATAGTCAAATCACATTATAAGTTCAACACAAACTCTATTAGCACATCATTGTTTGTTTACTCTTTTGATGTGGGGTGATTCTAATGCTCCTCCCCTAGTGTGCAATTAATTGATTAGTCACTTTTTTTGTGATACTTTTAAATATTTTAGAGAGTTCATTGATACTATTGAAAGAAAAAAAATTGAAAATGACATTTTTGTCAAAAATATCTGAGTGGCGGTAGAATTCAATGATACGAAGTATTATTTATTAAAAGAAAATAAAAGATATAGTGACATTTTTAACAAAAAATGAATAGTTTAGTAACATTCTTATAACTGCACTTCAAGTTCAATTGCACCGGTAATACTCAAACACCACGCACCTCAATAGGGATAGAGTTTTAGCAAAGAATCGAGTTAAAAAACTAAATGGGAGTCAGAGATAAACTTCTATACGAGCAACTTATTGACTCCTATATGAAACACCTTTCTAGACATCTTTCGTTCAAAGAAATTTTTTTGAACGATTAATCAAAGAGAAATTTACCTAAATAGGACTAAAACATAATGACTTTTCCAATATAGGATCATATGTTTTTATTTTCAATGTAGGACTTTTGGTCATTATCAAATAGTCATTATTCAAGTAAATGTCCATCATTACTGGACATTATTCCTCTCACTAAGTCATTATTAAGTTATATTTAGGGAATAAAAAAGTTTAATTCCTAAATTGAGAAAGTCATTATGCTTTAGTACTATTTAGTGCAAATTTTACTTAATCAAATAGTTATTTCTAATTTAGTTTGTTTTTTGTTTGTCAAAAACAAGTTATCTACTCTCTATAATGAATAAAGAATTAAGACGAATTTTTTCACAATTTTCACACTTGACAAAAGTTATGTCACATTTACATTTTTTAAATAAGTTTTTAATAAAAAATGAACAACTAAATGTAAAAATTGATCATATAAATAAAAAAAAGTACTCCTAATTGGCTTATTCCAACAAAAAAAAGAAGAAAATGAATCGTTCCATAGGCGTGTCACGGGTGCATGGCCCAAGACTGAGCTCGACCTCGTGCCCGCAAAAAACGGCGCAATTCAGTTAACAGCCCGGCCGCCTCCTCATTCAGGCCAAAGCGGCCTTAGTGGCCGCCGCCACCGCCGCCGGGACCGCCGCGTACCTAACGGAGAAATTCTCCTTTAGCACCGGTCCGTCGTCGAAATTGAGCGCATAACTGTGAGCGTCGTACCGGAATCTCCCCCTCTCCTCGCCGCCTTCGCACCCGCACCCGGCGACCTTGCTACTGCTTCGCCTCTCGAGCCGACGGAGGCAGGACTTCCACCGGATCTCCGACCACCGCCGGAGTTGCCTCGCGGCCATGAACCCCCGGAACCACACCGACTGCTTCTGGATCTCGGCCGATCGCATCATCTTCGACCAGTCCGGCCCGAATCCGGCCCGATCGCTTGACCCGAGACATGGCAATTTCAGAAAACACCGCCGCCGCTCCTGCAACAGCAACTCCGCCTCCTTCCGCTCCGATTCCTCTTCGGAGCAATCATGGCCGCCCATATCGCCACCTCTTCGTTCTCTCTCGGTGTCTATTTTTACAGATCTGTCGAAGAATGTGTGTAGAAGGAGATATGGTGAATTTGGTTTCATCATATATGTATGGGGCGAGGGGAACGGATAAAAGGATTTCCAATTTGGCTTATTATTATTATTCCATACGAAGTAGGGAGTAGATGGAGTGACACTGTTATTTGACACCCACTTTAAATTAACTTCAAGACTACAATTGAAGGGGTCGGAGTGGGTCGGAGTGGGGTGGGGATTTAGAAGTATGAACAGTTAATTTTACGAACAGGTCTGGGTCATTTCATGACATGAGATTCTAATATCATGGAAAATCCCTCCAATATAAAATTAATGATTTCTATCTCTAGACCTCCTAACCTACACGCTAAGCAAGCCTTCCTTTCTCATGTTTGTTGATGGACGAGAGTAATTTACCGTTTTCGAACAACAAACCCGATCGAAACTTGGTTTGATTATTTCGACACCTGCTTTGGGTGTCATATTATGACGAGAAATATAAGAGTCACAAATTAGAGTGATACAAATATTACCAACTTGTCACCGCTAGTTTTTTAGATCTTTTGATGTAACTTTTAAATATGTAATTTTTATTTTTTTAATTCTACACTATTTTTCATATAAAATGATTTGAAAATAATTTCAGTCAAAAATTGTAAATTTCTTCACTTTTCCTCTTTATATTTTATTATTTGTGGGCCCTTTGGGAATAACATTTTCAATTAGTGTTAATGTTTTGGATAAATTTTTAATAGTGCAGATCAACTTCGAAAACGCTAACGCTAAATACACGTTGTAGATAAGTTTTTCAAAACGCTAACCTCTAACGCTATTTCAAATAAGTTCTTATTCAATTAACTTGTTGATGGATATAACTCTCCCTCTTATCAAATTAAAATCTCACTACCGGATCTTCTTCTCCATCATATATTTTTAATCCATTTTTTGTCTCGCAAATTAGTTATTCTTAGTAATCAATTTGCATTCCCTTCCTCATTTGTAGATCCAATAAAAAATGAAAGCTAAAGTAAAGTTAGAAGGGAAAATAGAGGAAGAGGAAAAAAATACCCTCCAACAACACCCTCCAAGAGAATATACAAATTTATAGAATTGAGGAAAGAAATAGAATATTGTCCGGATTAGTAATCAAAGGGAAATAGAGGAAGAAAATTTTTCTCCTCGTCTCAAAAGCGAGATTGAATGTGATCACCTAGCTAGACCCTATTAGAGAATATCCCACATCGGAAAAGTGAGAAAAAATATAATCGGTATATAAGTTTTTAATGTGGTTCAGTTTAAGTGTCTTATGACCCAGTTCAGTAGTCACTATCACATTCTAAATTCTATCATGGTATCAGAGCTAGTTTTAGCTCATCTCGTATGTTAAGGTGTTCGTTTAAACGTTCGTTCTTGGTGGCCCTGGTCTCTAGCCCAGTTGTTTATGTGGAAGGTATATCCAACGACATGTATGTGCCTTGTTTAATCCGATTGTTCGTATGAAAGTCCATACCTAGCGGCTCGTGGTTCTTTAAGTGTTGGTGCTCAAAAAATAGAAGTCAAGAGGATGGGAGTCTATTAGCAAGTGATCAACTGGTTAGATTCAAAATGATCTGGTTGCACATCAGAAAAGTGAAGATAAAATAATTGGTATATAAACTGTTGGTATAAAACAAAATTGAGTTGGTATAAAACAAAATTTTCAGCATGACGAGAAGAAAATATAAAGAAATATCAAAGGAGGGAACTTACATTGAGACAAAGATGATGAAGGCTCTGCTTGAAACAATATTTTCAGTTACCGTTTTAGATTATTTTTTAACGATGCAAATCTAAACATTACCATGAGATAATCTTTTTTTCGAAATGATAAATCTAAACGTTGAACCAGTTGCCAAACAAACATGGAGATGTGGATTATTTTTTTCTGTTAGAGAAAAAGAGGTAATCAGAACCACCATCAGGCCAGTCCTAACATTTTATGGGCTTTAGGCCAATTAAATGGCTTCTCTTATAATTTTTTTTTAAAAAAAGATAATATCACTCGATGAATTAAAATGATTGAATGTGTCATATTATTATTATTGTACGGAGTACTTCATATATACTCCCTCTGTCCCAAAAAGTTTTACACATTTTGATTAAAATGGAAATTAAGGGAGAGATAATTTTGTGTTGACTTTCCAAAAATAACCTTGATTTGATGTAAAAAAGTAGGATGTGATGTGTAGATTATAAGGAAAAAGGTATGATGTGATAGGTAGGGTTTGAAAAAGTAAGGGATAAAAGTGATTTTTTAATAGAAATGGGTAGGAGATTATGGGACGCAATTTTTTGGAAAGATGTAAATCTTTTTGGGACGGAGGGAGTATATATTTACTTAAAATTGAAAGGTTAAAATCCTAAAGTGATTATTTTTTACTCATATATTACTAGTAATATTAGAGAAAAATATTTATGGGCCCATTATGAATAGGGCCCTAGGCGGCAGCCCCCTATGCCTACCCCAGGGCCGGCCTTGACCACCATACATACAAACAATATGGAGAGATGTGTTTGGCTTCTCTTATTCCCAGATTACGAGTCCGATTTGCATCAATTTCGGTATTTAATATCAGCATCTTAGAAAGTATATCTAACAATAATGTTTGACGCTAATATATATCTTCAAAGCTAATTTTTATTATTAATAAAATATCAAAAATGTTAGTACCAAATGAAAACATTTTCCCTAAATAAGACCTACTCTTAAGTTGGTTCCTTGTCGGTATCGGAGTCTTGTTGACTAAGAAGTTGCGAGAACGAAACTCAGCGCCACCCAATTTTAAAGAAATTATGGTTTCATGTGCAAGGCTCCAAAAGGACTGTACCTGCACGTGAGAAGACATGTTCGAATATATGAAATATTTCTTGGGCCACGACCACAAATCTGAGTTTTTGGTTAATTTGGCTCCTTGACCAAATCAGAATAAAAAAAAAGAGAATGATTTTGACAATGTCACTAAAATTTGGCCACACTATTATCCAAAAAAAAATGTACGATGCTATCCTAAAAAATGTTGCTATCCTAAACTTTAATTAAAGCCCTAATAAACATTTTTATATAAACAACTTTTTTAAAGTATATTATTATGAGGGATTGTAGAATTACAACATCACATGATGACCCCATTTGGGACATCGAATCTACGATGCTCCGATAGTCCGATAAAAAATTGATTATTCATCTCTCTTTTGAGCCCGGAAGCCACTGTTCTCTAAGTATAAAGTCAAAACTTTTGACTTTGAAGTCAATTATACTCAGGAGGTGCAATTGACGTAGGTGGGGTGATTAGTTTAGATAGGACTTGGCGGGAGGGGGGAGGAGGGGTTAGAGAGGTAAGAATCATCAATTTTATGAACGGAGCTCCGTAGAGGGCAGTGGCTTCCGTGGCCACTGGAAACTAGTGGCCATAGAACCGGACTCCTCTCTTTTAACCTCCCCATAAACATACCTCTCGTGTTTTCCCGCTCACCGCTGCCCCCGCGCCCACACTACTTGTTTAGTGTGATCACAACGACACTTGTAGTGATGACACATACATTGATATTACTTGTTTGTGAAACATTCTTACCTCGAGAAGTGGTATTGGTATAATTTTGTTTCTCTCACTCGATAATTTTTGTTTGTTTAAGCGATTTCATTGAGTATTTGGTAAAATAAAATATTCTTGACACCTCTTATTTTGTACTGTAGAACTTTTGATCTAGTTTTTTAATATCTAATTTTCATTTTTTATTGATATATCGATTTGTAAATAAAATTATTTTAAAAAGTGAGATATTTTTTCTCGTAAACTTCAATCTGTAATCAAATTGGGGACGAAAAGAGTAATAATTTTGATAACAAAAAGAATGACAATAATAAGAATATTCGTCCGAGCCTACACCAAATAACATAAGAGAGGAAAAAGAAAAAAATTTAAATAGTATTGCGACCCTCTTTAAGAATATTCATTTCATTTGACTTTTTTTAATACAAATTTGACGAACTTTAATCAGCAGTTAATTTCAAATTACATTGCATATCATTAATAAGATCATGTTTGGTGCACACAATTTTACTGAAAAAAATAATCATAACAAACATACTCCCTCCTTTCTTGATAATTTGTCTATTTTTGAGTTTTTCCGATCAAAATTAGTAAATTTTGATCTTAAATTAAATAAAAATGATATAAAATATCGATACAGAAAATAGTATTATTAGAATTTATCATATCAAATATTTTTCAAAATATTATTTTATTTAAATATAAGTTAAAGGTTGAAAACGATTGACCAGAAAAAGGTCAAAATTGGGCAAATATTCAGGGACGGAGGTGGTATATAGGAGGAAGAAATACCTTTTTTCACCATTTTTTATGCCATCTCAACTACCCCAACAACATCTTGTGTAGGGTTGGGAGTGTCTTCTTCCAAAGAGATCTTCAAAAGAGTGCCCTTAGCAGCAGCCCTACAAATAGGGCAAGCAGCATTGTTGACAAGCCATGAATCAATGCATAGGGCATGGAAACAATGGTTGCACTGCAAAGCTCTGCACTTTTCCCCAACTTTGAAACCCTCCAAACAGACAGCACAGTCAGCGAATTTACCATTTTGCCCTTCTTCTTTTTCTTCTTCTTCTGCAATCTCCACCTTGTACTCAAAGCATGGCAGCTTCTTTATCTCTTCTTGGGACATGTTTGGGCTTCTGTTTATGCATCTTGTTGGGGTGAAAGACATTGTCCCATTTATTCCATTTCTGCCCCTCAATGCCCTCCCCACTATACATATGTGTATGAACACAAGAACCACTACCCCTACAAGTAAAAGTGCCACAGAAACCACTATTTCCATCATTTTTTTGAATCAAGGGAGGAGAATTTGTTGGGATTTTTTTTAAAAAAAAATTGAACACATATATACTTAAATTAAATATGTATTTACAAATTAATTATATTTATATATGTCACCAAGAAATTGGTGCTTGGGGGTGATCTTGGGAATGACCCAAAAAAGGGCAGCTATGAAGGGTGGATGTCATCTATGTGAATCTTGAATGAGAAAAGCATGAGGGTTTGGCTTAATTACATGTATTGTGGTTGGTGTATGGAAGTTGAATGTGGCATTTTCATTCTTCCAAGGGGCAATTAAGAGTTTTTTATGTCTACTACTCTACATCCCCAATCAACTTGCACACTTTAGTATTGAAGATCATAGTTTAATCAAATTATTTTCTTTAATTTCATTATTGATTTCACAAAATAAAATAAAGTTGTTGTCAATTCTTATTCTGTAAAAAAATAATTATGTAGTTTTTAAATATATAAATTCTGTTTTTAAATATTACCTGAATTTTCATATAAATTGAAAATAAATCCAGTCAATAATCGTAATCAGCAACATCAAGATTAGTATATATGCAGAATATATACCTCAATTTTCATATAAGTTGAAAATAAATTCTTCCAACAATCGTAATCAGCAACATGGAGATTAGTATATACACAAAATATATACCTCATTTTTCATAAAAATTGAAAATAAATTCAGCCAACAATTGTAATTAGCAACATCGAGATTAGTATATACACAAGATTTATATAGGTCGATCCTGATATCTTGGAAGTTCTAATACGTATTTAAATATAAATCTAGCAAACACTTGTGCATTTAAAAAAATTAAATTAAAACAAAAAAACATACGAGTAGAAAACTTCTAATAAGCATTGGATTAAAAAGTAGATCAAGAAAAATGTCATTACACAAATTTTAAAAAATTAAAAATTTAAATAACTTATTATATCAATACAAAATTGTCATATTATTTGAATGAAGTGTTTTGTTGCAAATGAAAAACAAAAGAGGAAGTGAGAATTATTATTATTATTATTATTATTATTATTATTATTATTATTATTATTATTATTATTATTATTATTATTAATTGTTGGATGCATTCAAACATTGCTTAGCAGGTTGGTAAATGCATAGATGTCTTTAATTAACTAAGACGTAACATTATTATTGATGGTAAGTCAGTATCATAATTATTAATTCTCCCCTACAATATACCCAACAGCTTGATAATATAAATTAAACTCAATGAAAAAAGAGAAAAAGACCTAGAAAAATATGAAAGTATGATTTTTATGTTTTTATAGAAACCACCCTAAATAGGACTAAAACATAGAGAAAAGTACCAAAATAGGACTTTCATGTTTTTTTCCTGAAATAGGACTTTACACTGTGGTAATGTAATTTGGCCCTGTTATAATGTGTCAGTGTACATGTGCAAAATACGGAGTACTATACTTTTTTAGTAATGTATATGACCATGTATGATAATGTAAGTCCTATTTCGTGAATAAAAACAGGATGTCCTATTTTGGTATATTTTCAATGTTTTAGTCCTACTTTGATCTTTCTTCCATGTTTTTATGTCTAAAAGAGGATATATAACGTAAATAATGCTAACCGATAATACCAAAGAAAAAAGAACATCGGAATTCTAATATACGGGCTACTGTGTCATTGTAATTGTATAATTACTCTATTTTGAAAATAAAAATATATCTACGTCGAGATAAAAGTTATATTTACTTCCATTTGGAGTGATTTCTTATAATAAGACATCATAAAATAAAAATATATTTGCGTTCTAGAGTATTTGTCGAGTTTGATTTTTTTTGTAGTCAAACTGGATAATTTGTAATCATCAATAAAGTGAAAATGATATACCCAATCCGTCTCAATTTAAATTACATGTTTATTATTTACATGGTCAAGCTTTAACCACATTCTTTACCCATTTTTGTCTCATTTGAGAAAAATAAGAAAAATAGTAGTCTTGTTACCTTTTGTTTGGTAAACCTTTTGAACTTCAAAAAGCGTTTTTAAATAAGTAATTTTATTTTTATGAACTTCAATTAAATAAATAATGTACTCATATGAAATACAAATTGAGAGTAATTGAAACTTATAGTTTGTCGAGTTTGACTTGAAAAAATCAAACTCGACAAATACACTGGGACAGAAGTAACATATACTCCGTAACATGTTTTATATATATATATATTGATATTTAATAATAATAATAATAAATGTCAATGCTACATGTGAAGGTGTGTTGGTCCAATCCACCAGCAAAAGCTCTAAGTCAAATACGAGTAATAAATACACAGAAATGAAAATTTCCCAAAGGAGATTAAAATGTGTGGAGAACAAAGGCAATGGAAGGGAAGAGCATGAATTAATTACACCCCACTACTTCAATCCCCCCATCCACTCCCAATTTCAAACTTGCCTGCAGGTAGTGTGTGTGTGTGGCCGGAACCCGGAGTTTGACTCCGGCGGCGGCAGGCGGCAGCGGGCAGCGGGCAGCGGCAGGGCAGTCTTAAGGCCCTCTGCGCTTCTTGAAACAAAGGCAGCCCTGTTGTTGGTCAAGAGGGATCATGCCCCCGCCCTTTGACGTGTCGATCGCCTCCAGCATGGACACAACTTCGTCCATCTCGGGCCGCTTGTCCGCGTTTGCATCCCAGCAGCGCTTCATCACGTTCGCCAGCGAATTCGGGCAGCATCTCGGTATGTCTGGCCTCAGATTCTGTCGCGAAAACGACACATTAAGGGTCCGTTTGGAACACGGAAAACACCAGGGAAATAGAATTTGTTCTCTTTTTTGGTGGTAGGGGGGAGGTGGTGGGGGGGGGGGAGGGAGTAAGAACGGAACCTGGCGAACCACGGCAGAAGTAACTTCTGAGAAACTCAGGTCAGGATATGGCATGTCACAGCAATAGATCTCCCATAAACAAATGCCAAAACTATATACATCACATTTCCTATTATACGGACTTCCATTCAGAACCTGTTACCATTTTCAGTTCATCAAGAATATGACATTAGTATCCAACAAACCCTTAATTAGGAAGCAAACGAAGTTTAATGTGCCTTTTTTTTAATTTAGTCCATTATGTACCCACACACACAAAAACATAGTAAATGATGACTGGTTTGGCTACATTAGGAATGGACGAGAATGTAAAAAAACAATGCTAAAAAAAATAGATTTACTTTGTTCCGTTTCGAGAATTTCTTGTGTATATAAGAGAGAGTATGGAGTATATAATATAAGGAGAAGTCGAAACATGAAGGGCTGTTTTTCTTTTTCATAGAGAAAAAAAAGGGCATTCAAACTACTCACAACCCATAAAAGTGTGGGGAGTACTAGTGAAAGTGGGTCCTGCAAGCCTTTGTGAAAGACATACCTCGGGGGCCATGTATCCAAGAGTCCCAGTCTCTCCGGTCATATCATTTGGATTCGAGGCTTCAACGCGAGCAACCCCGAAATCTGCTATCTTCACTGTCCGTGTCTTGTCCAATAGCATGTTCTCGGTCTTTACATCTCGGTGAACTATCTTTTGAGAATGAAGATAGCTTAACCTGAATTATTGATGGAGGGCACCTAATGACTATACGTGAAGTTCAAATAAAAGACCACGCTGACTTTTTGTGGGTGGGTGGGTGGGGGGGGGGGAGTCAATGCTGTGTTTGGAACTCGGAAAGAAAAAGAAAAGAGGCAAGGGCTCACATGTATTTAGCTCTTTTGATCTTTAGATGATAGAAATATATAAAGAATTTTTTTAAGCAGATTTTAAATTTACCCCATATTTCCATTCCTCCCAAATTTCATCTCTCTTTTCCCAACATTTTATGAGTTCCAAACAGACCCCAAAAAGTGCAGAGAATCAATGCAGAAAAGATACCCTCTGGCGAGATCAAGGGCTATCTGCACTACAACTTTGAATGCTAGCTTCTTTCTCCTGTTCTTTATAAGGTAAGATTTCAAGGCACCGCCAGGAAGGTATTCCACAACAACACAGCAGATGTTACTGGGCATGCCAATCGGCCCATTTTCAGTCTGTATATTTAACCCTGAAGAACCCATTGTTGCCCCTATAAACTGCAGTGGAAGAAAGGAAGGTACTATATCATTAGCAATGTAGTGAAAAGAAAACAGTTCAATCTTCTTTTTGTGCATCAGATTGGTACAACAGTTTAATCTAAGGATAAATAATTGCATATTTTAATGTTTTTAAGATATCTTGGTTCAAGAAGTTATTAGGGAATATATTCTAGTTTCCAAACGGACCATTCTATAGCTCCTTGATCACATGCTAAGCAGAAGAGCATTTCGATAAACAACACAAAAGGGGAAAAACTAGAACTCTAATCTGAATGTGTACTTCAGTTTAATCAATACAAATACACAACCTTTACAAGCAGGTGGATTTCAATCTTTCAATTCAAAACTTTTTATCACATTATATATTAAAAACATTAGCATCCAAGAGCAAGAAATTAGAAGACTTCATATGATTGGATGATAAAAGCTAGTAAGTCCAGATAGTAATTGTAAGAAAAGATTTGATGATACGTGGGAGAAACAACTCATCGGGGAAGAACCTCTCTGCTCCTTACTGTCCCCTAGATCCTAATCTTAAATGGGTATGTTTGGTTTTGTGAGAAAATTACTTATGGTAAGTTTCTAGAGTCTTTCTCTCCTAAACAGTTGGGGAGTACAAGTCATTGCTTCTTGTCAAAATCTGTGCATCATCATGGGAACTTTCGTAGTCTGCAGTTCTCACTGGCACAGTATAATATACTCCCTCCATCCCGAAATAAGAGTCTCATTGGGTTAAGGTAAAACTTCTTAAGTTTGGAAAGGCAGAACGATAAAAGTAATGTAATCCCATGACTGTTATTATGGAATGGAGGAGCTCACAATTCATACAATAAAATCCAGTTCTGAACCATAAATCAAATTATTTTACAAATACTGACTACTGAGTAATAATAAAAAAAAATGAAAATGGACACTAAGAATATTGCATATACCAGATAACACAGCAGAGTTTTTATGGTGCATTTCTCCTACATAGGATACCCAAATTGGTGCTTAAGTTGTACACAAAGCAGAAAAATGCTTAGGCTTGCAGTAATTTTCATGTTTGTGACTAATGTTACAAATTACGATCCTTCTCCCTCATCAAGGTATTTAATGCCTTCGAAGCAAATGATCATTTTGTATGTGCATAGTTCTGCTTGTACAGACTAAGTCCATGTGAGCCTAGATGATGTGATCTAAGGGGTTTAAGGGTCTAGCCAAAATGATGGAGTAAAACGTTTTCCAGGCCTTTAACTTACACTCTGGTCTCATCACCCCCTCCCACAAAGCCATATCAGGTGTACTTGAAAGAGCAAAAACAAAAGAACAAATGTTGAAATACACCATTAGTTATGGCAGCAGCGTAAGATTTGGAAGCATTGATAATGTTACCAATGGTATAGCTTATGCCATTGCAGATCAGTTTTGTCATAAATAGCTTATGCAATTGCACATATTGTAGCATAAATAGTTCTCAGTTTTGTCATTGCAGATCACAGCAAAGAGATGTAATGGCACCTTGGTGACATTAGGATGGTCAAGCTTATGCCATACTGCAACTTCTTGTGTAAAAGCCGCCCTCAGAGATGCTATTTCAGCTTCTGTTCGGTGTCCCTCTTCGCCCCAGTCTAGCAGTTTAACTGAGGATCAATTCACAATAAAAAGAACATTACTACCATTTATTTTTTCAAGACATTAATAATACTCCGTATAAATTACTTTTGGGTGTCTGTAGTTTATAATATAATGTATTTGGGCAGCAAATTATAGTATAAATGCAATATGGGCTTTGTAGCCTCACCCATCACATTTCGATTCCATACTCTTCATTATAAACAGCAAAAGCTTAAATCTAACTAGCTGTCATCAAAGTGTCGTGACATAGTACTTTTAGTGTCATTTTACAAATGTATGGAAAATGTCATGAGACAATGATTGGCTCCATCCTAAATGCTTCCATAATAATGATGGCAACTACCTGATATAAGCATTGATGTAAGCAGAACTATATGGAATATGACCAATAATGAACGGCTAAAATCCACCATTGGTCCTTCAACTTTATCAGTTGTGCACGATTGGTCCTTCAAGTTTCAAAAGTCCATAAATAGTTCTTCAACTTTATGAGTTCTGCACCATTGGTCCTTCAAGTTTTAAAAGTCCATAAATAGTCCTTCAGGTACACGTCAGCCCTCCATATGAAGTCTTTTTGACCGTAAATTTTAAAAGTTAAACAAAATACTAGTTTCATATAATACGAGTAAATTCCATTAGGTACGACTACTCCGTATTATATGGAGCTAGTATTCCATTTAGCTTTTAACATTTACTGTCAAAAGGACCTCATCTGACGTGTACTTGAAGGACTATTTATGCACTTTTAAAACTTGAAGGACCAATCGTGCATAACTCATAAAGTTGAAGGACTATTTATGGACTTTTAAAACTTGAAGGACCAATCGTGCACAATTGATAAAGTTGAAGGACCAATGGTGGAGTTTAGCCATAATGAACCAAACGCGCACTCACATGAATGCATAATAAACAGTTATCTATGTTTTTAACAAAAATACAAACACAATTCCAAGTTTAGCAAATGGAAAACGAACCATACTCAACATTATTCCACTTTTTACGCAAAAATTTACTTCATGACCCCATCATATTTGCTTATTTGTAATAACAGGGGGACATGTCTGTCTTATTTCTTAGGAGAGCACCCAGCCCGGTGTCTCATGTGTGGCACCACATTAGGTCTGCCTAATCTGGAAGTCGGTCTGGGGTGTGCTGGCAAACTTTGAATTTTACTCGGGGGCAAGAATCCCCCCCCCCCCACAAGATATGTTCATTTGCCCAGATCTTTTTCTTCCTCCATTAAATACAATTTCGTTATGTGGGAGTAATACTCTGTGATGCACATCAAGTGTTTCTAGTGCCATTCATTGTTTGGCATAGAAAAGAATAAAGAGAATAACAATAATAATAACAATATTAATTCCAAGAAGAAATTCAACATCAAATCCTTATACTGGGGTGGGGTCACATGTTGGAAAGCATTAATGGTTCATCTTATTTTATACTTGAGAAGCAGATTGGATCACATGACAGTTCAGACTATGTTAATTCAGCATCTCTGCAAATTGCAAAGTTCAATCCATACCCGTGCATCTATTCACGGATTGCATAAGAAAAAACAGTCCTTCCATACAGTAATTCATAGATTCTTTTAATCTTTTCATTTACTATTTCTTTGTATATTTACATGGACCATTTGATAAAAATAATATAATCCTATTCCTATCATTTCTTATACTCCGTATTTAAAAAAAATTAATTTAGTTTTTTAAATATATATAAATTTCATTTTTTCCTTCAAAAAAAAAATACTCCGTATAAATTTCATTTTAAAATTACAGGGGTATTGAAGTTGAGTGCTAGCGAAAGGGCCCACGATATTTAATATTTACACCGACCAAATGAAGATGGATCTGAATTCAACGATTCTATGCTTTAATGATTTACCTGAAGTCTTCACCATTTTCTGTTACTACCATTCTGTTCAACTAATCTAAATTCTGAAAAAAAACGCCTTGCTAAGTTTCATTTCTTCATCCAAACAGTCAATTTTTCCCCCAAAAAGGGGAAAAAAAATTTAATACTAACAGTAACTGTCTTTACCAATTTACTCTCCTTTTTTTTCTCAAAAACAGTTATGAAATTAATCATGATCGAACTGATAACTGATTTGAGTACTAATTGAAGTAGCGAAAATGGAGATTTGGAAAAGGAGAAGGGAGAATCAGCGGAGATTGTGACTGACCGGCAACATCTTGGCCGTCGTAGATGCCGCGGTGGACGGTGCCGAAGGTACCGCGGGCGAGGACGCTCTTGATGACGAGCTTAGCAGGATCGATCTCCCAATCCAACCTGAGCCGGGGCGGGGCGGCGACAGGCGGCGCAAGGGCGGCGGAGTGCTGGCGGAGGAGGGCGGAATCGTCGACGGTCGCGGCCTTCTTCTTGCTCTTCTCGAGAGTCAGAGCCCGATTGAGGTGCCTCTCCAGCTGCTCGTCCAAGCTCTTCAAGTCAATCTGATCCGCCCTCACGAATCCGTCGCTGCTCTTCTCCATGTTCCCGGAAACCACCTCCCTGAACCGAATCTCCGGATTCGAATGGTGAACAAGAAGAAATCAGTAGAACTGTGCTGATTGGGGGATGAATATAGGTATGTATATGGAGGGGGTGATGATGTGGGGGAGATGGAAGAGAGCAGAGCAGCTGCATGTGGGCGGGCACATGGAATTGCCTCAACGCAGCTTGTCTTACACACTGGCCCACCCTTTCTCTCTCTCTCTTTCTTTCTTCCCCTTATTTTATTTTTGGCTAAAATCCACTATTGGTCCTTCAACTTTATCAGTTGTGCATGATTGGTCCTTCAAGTTTCAAAAGCCCATAAATAATCCTTCAACTTTATGAGTTTTGCACTATTGGTCCTTCAAGTTTCAAAAGTTCATAAATATCTTCAGGTACACGTCAGCCCTCCATGTGACATACTTTCACACTAAATGAAAATATAGTAATAATATTGCATCTATGGTGTATTCATTTATACTACATGGTTAAACACATTTATATTACCAAACATGATCATATACATTACCAAAAAGTATATAGTAATGTATACATGTACAATGCCACTTTACTACCGTGTGAAATCCTATTTCAGGAATAAAAATAAGAAAGTTATATTTTAATACTTTTTCTCTATGTTTTAGTTATTATTACTATAAAAGATACACAGTATAGTCCTTCAACCTCACACGCGACGCGATAGAGTAGTGAGAGGACAAATCAAAGTAAAGATTATACTGAGAGGACAAATTAGAGTCTTGTGTCTTGTATACATAAGGAAGTGTTACATTGAATAAAATTTAAGAAATCACAAAAAATAAAAATAAAATATACTCTGTAATTTTATAGAAATCACCCTAAATATAACTAAAGCATAGAGAAAAAGTATTAAAATATAACTTTCTTATTTTTATTCCTGAAATAGGATTTCACACTGTAGTAAAGTGGCATTGTACATGTATACATTACTATATACTTTTTGGTAATGTATATGATCATGTTTGGTAATATAAATGTGTTTAACTCTTATTTCGGGAATAAAAACATAGAAGTCTTACTTTGATATATTTTCAATGTTTTATTCCTACCTTTATCTTTTTTTCTCTAGTTTTTATCTCTAAAAATAAGAGTGTTATACTTTTATCTTATATATTGTACGGACTACGGAGTACGTGTTTGTTCTTAAATATGTAGTACGGAGTAGTATTTTTTTTACTTTGAGTTAGTTATTATTCACATACTCGTAGTTAATATTTATCATCATCATTTACGTATTTTCATTATTAATTTGATAGTCCTGATCACATTTTAATATTTTATTCATGGAATTTTTAAATATTTTTTAAATATATATTATAGTAAGTTTAAAGAACTCACCCAAAGTATGAATAAAACATGGAAAAAGTATCAAAATAGAAACACTATATTTTTATCTTTAAATAGGGATTTGCATGGTGACAATGTGACATTGTATTTTGACATATCACAGTGTTTTTAGTACTATATGTTGACATTATAAAAAATATCTCTTAGTTTAGAAATAAAAACATAAAACTCATATTTTATTATTTTTTTTATATTACTTTTAGTTTAGTTTTTTTCTTTAATTATATATATGTACAGCAAATACTAAATAAGTTAAATGAAAAATAATGTCAGAAAAAAACATAAATCATAATGAAAAAGTTGTTTGAAGAATGGAGAAAGTAGAAAATAAAAAGGATTTTTAGAATTGTTAAAAGAAAATAAGAATGGGAGGCAATCTTGGCATATTCTTTAGCTTGATTTGTATATTGGAGAATTTCCTTTTGTATTACTTGCCTTGATTAGCTTTAGCATTCTTTTCTTGTCTTAATTTCTTGTATTATGTTTTGTAATATCTGCTTTTATAGTTTCTCTTATATTTTACTCTTTCATTCCCAAATTAAATTACACGTATACTATTTACATTATCAAATTTCATTAACTTTCTTTCTCTAATATGCTAATCATTTAATAAAATAAAATAGTCATGTCCCCATTAGTTTTACAAATCTTTTGATGTAATATTTTAACTTGTAATTTTTATTTCTAAATTCTACACCATTTTTCATATAAAATAATTTAAAAATAATTTCAGTAAAACATCAAAAACCGACACTGGCAATATAAATTAGGACAGAGGAAGTATATAAAAAGGATGGTTTATATATAACATTTTAAACAAATTTTTGGACAATAGTATAGTATTTAGCTTTAATATTTTTAAAATTAATTTGTAATGTTTGAAAATAAGGGTTAAGTAGCAAAATAAAAGTAAAACATTGATGATATATCAAACTAAGAGTAAAAACGACAAATTTTTGTCGCTGCCGCAAACCCACTACCATTGCCACAATGNCCCCCCCCCCCCCTCATCGCCGCTAACACCCCCAACATCTGCCCACGACCTATCGAGGGTTGCCGATGATTTCCCACATCACCAAGCTTTGCTTCCTTCATAGCCAACGCCACCGGGATCTGCTATTGTCACTGTAGTATTGTAGTCTTACAATGAGTGCCAAGGAACAATACTCTTCATACAATGATTACAATGTATAATGCCAAACATAGCCCATAAAAAAGTACAAATATGCCATTGTATAATGTCAAAGAGAAGCAAAATGGGAACTAATTAAGAATAAATACATCATTGTATCATTCATAGCTGGTTGTGCACTAGCACATCCAAAGAGACCTTACCATTCGTAGTCGGCTCATCTTGGGAGACCTTATGAATCATTCCCGGCATCACCAACTCATCTATGGAGACCTCATCATTCGTAGTCGTCTGTGTACTTGTCTGCAAAAAGACCAAAGAAAATCGTTTTTTCTCTTTTTTACTCACCAAAATTTGTCACATAATTGTCTGAGAAAATCATTGCATGTTGTCTGTGCGTGTATGGGACGAGCGCAGTGTACAAATCGGGTACAAATGTTGGTGTATCCCTAGCAAAACCTTTTTTTTTTCAAAAAAAAAAGTATATCATTTATAAACTAGCCAAACATCGCTAATGAGAAAGTGCAACCGTGCATGGCACGGTTGCGCCAAAAAGTAACAAAGGCAACAAAACATCCCCATTTATCTTTGGATATATGCAGTTTCACTCGCACGAAAACGTTAGCAAAACAACTTTTAAAAGAGGGACCGACCGATTGCCTGAATTTGATCCCATATTGTTAGGCACTGCCAACTCGGGCTCTGACTTCTTTGCTTCTGTGGCAGAAAGCTCATCTTTCCCAATTGGCCGCCGGTTCCATCCATCCAAACAAACCCTTACAGAGCTGAGCACGAAGATGCAAAGATATGACCCTCCAAATAAGCCTCTAGATTTCTAGGAGTTTGGAGATGGAAAGAGGGCAAAATGCATCCATTTTACTAATGCAAAACACCAAAAGAACATTAGTTTACTATTCATGGAAGTATTAGCTTTTGAGAACTGAGAGTGAACACATTTTCTATCCAGAAATACAAGGGCAGAATGCTTGTCCATTTCACATGAACATGCAACTTTATCCATTGCAACTTCCAATATGCTCAATCTTAACAGGCACTCAAATTTGCCATGTTACAGATCATCATCTACTTGAGTAGTGAGACGAATCTTTCTTAAAATTGTCTGTGCTTATTTTATAGTAAAATGAAAATTTGTAAATGTAAATTATTTGGAAACAATAGCTCTATGTTTTAACAACGGGAAAGACTACGTACATCAGACCCCCTCACCCCTACGTACATTCTTTTTAGCTTAAAGCATGCAGCAGTAGTGTTTCAAATCTAAGCAAGAACTAAAAAGATTAAACACTGTCTTTACAATCAGCTTCTCAACTTTTGGACCACAAATTTTGTATTTAAGATAATATTTTCAAGATAATCAGCTCAGAATGGACCAATGTGAAATTTCTTCAATTCTCTGAAATGTCCTTGTTTTAAATGAATTGTGAGACTTAGAAAACCAAAAAAACCTCATAGGCAGCCCACAATTATCAGTGTTCTTATTCTCAAAGAATAAACTCCCTTTAAGATTCAAATGCATAATCTGACTGCCCAACACACTTTGTTTCATGTTTATCCTAAAATCAGTTCTGAATGACCACAATGAATGCCCCAAAAACTTGCTAAGGACTCAGGTGAAAGAAATAAACTTAGCAATCGGATTCATACTGATAAAGGGCAAAACTTGATGTTCAGAAAATATCTTCCTAAGCTATTGAATCAAAATGAAAGTCTTTGAGAAATCCTTCATTTTCAAGCCATTTTTCTCAAATCAAAGCTACCAAAATCCCATCAGTTCAAGTATTGTTGATTTAAGAGGATATGCACATAACCAAGGCCCAAAATTTTTATTCTCTTCTTTCTTTATGGGACTTTTTTTTGTTTTTTTTTTCCAGCATGCTTGCTATATTTTTTTAATTTCCTTAATATTCTCACTTGGTTCAGCGGTGCATGTATTGAACTAGCCGATTTGTTTTGAGATTTGATGGCCATATTCAGGGGTTTGCTCTCCCTCCCTTGGCTTTTTCATACGTAAGCCACTTAAGGGGCTATGAGTGCCATACCACTCATGCCGGCCAAGTCGGTCATTTCTCAGCTAGAACATACTAACTCACTGCTATTTTTTCAGCTTTTCACTCAAAAACTGGGGTATCCTTAAGCCTGATCATTTTTAATGGGAACAAATAGCTTGAAAAGGAAAGAACTCTTCAAGAATCTAATTTTAAACCCAATATCTCTTAGAAACATATTTTCCAAAGAAGAAGTTTTGCACTCAGTGAAATGCTCCATGTTTGCCATATTTAATTAATATTCTGATTTTAATGAATCATATCCATATCCTTTGTCAAAGTCTCATTCATATTTTAAAAATGGTAGTTGGGAAATGCTCCTTTAGAGTATTATAACTCTGATTTTTCTATCCATGAGTCAACTATCGGATTCGAAGAGAAGCTTATAGACTCTTAGATAGGTACGAAATGAGTGTAACGATTCATTCCAAAAGTTTCACTATGTTACCTATGTACAGAGATTGCTCTGAATGAGTTGAAATATGTTCACCGAAATGAGTTGAATGTAGTTAGACGAACTCATTTGGAAGAGGTACGACCAAACGGAGTCCCTCTCCCATGTTGAACATAGTTCACCTCATTTCATTATGTTGCACTCATTTAATTGAAAAGTAATCGAGTTAAATTCAGACAATAAATTTATACATACCAGTTATTGTACAATAATAGCCTGGCGGTAGGCAATAGATATTCTTTTCATCTTCCACATACTTTTTTTAACAGAAATAAAAGACAATAAAAGGACATCCATGTCCATGTTCCATACGAAGTACTAATTTAATTGGGTGACAAGTACAATTAATCACGAGGTGATTTTCTCAAGTGATTACTATATTTAATTTATCACAGTAATAATTATTTGATTAACGATCAATCATATATTTACCTCCAAAACCCAATTTCTTGGGGTCCAAGAATGGCAGACTCGGTAGTCGGTACGGCGTTCAAATACTCCTTATTTGGTCTTTTTGAAGACCCAAAAAAATCTAACAAAAATGGCAACTTTCGGAATACTCAAAAAACATTAAAAACAAAATGAAATTGTTTATATAAAAAACATAAAATATCTAATATTTTATATTCATAAAGATGATGTTTTTATTTTGGAACGACCCAAGAAAAAGTGAGAAATTTATTTTGAAAGAGAAGGATATCACACATTCAACTGATTTGGACCATTTCTTTAAACTTATTGAAATTGATTTTTATGTGGACAAAATAAAATTTTAAAATTAAAATGGTAAACTAATTTTAATAACGTTTTCTCTTATTACAAAAAATACTCCCTCCGTTCCTAAATAAACTTCCATCTTTCTTTTTTGAACGTGTCAAAATACCATGACTTTTTCCTTAAAAGTAAAAGAAATTATCTATAATAGGAACAAATTATAGTCTTTATCTTCAAAATAAGAGTTCGGTTTTTTATTTCCAAAATAAAAGTTGTAACAATGTGACGATGTATATCGAGATTTCATTGTATTTTTTGGTATTATCTGTTAACATTACTAGCATTGTTACTCTTATTTGAGATTAAAAATATGAAAAATCTTATTTTGTAATTTTCTTTATGTTTTATTTCTAATTTAGTGTTTTTTCTTAAAAGTAAAGAACACGTAGTACTCCATATATGGCAAAAAAAATTGTGTGCATTAAATTCGAATCTTTATTTTTTCACTTTTTCAATATTTTTTTCTTAACCCCTTAAAAACCAAACAAAGAATTTTTTTTGAAAAGAGAGAATACATTTTAAAAATTGCGATAGTTAAAATAAATTAATAAGTTATAATAGAAAAAACAAGATAAAAAGAATCAGGGATGGACATGGGTAGAATCCTTAATAATCTCACATTTTTGAAGTATTAATGTATTAGTTTACTTCTTCAATTGCAGCTATTGACCTCCTTAAATTCTACAAATTGCCGTTAAAAAGAATTCATAACTCTCATTTCTTCTCGAGAGCTAAAAAGATGACAATGGAGGATAATAGTAATTCTCTTCTAGTTAAATACAAACTTGAGAAGAGTGTAAATGTGAAGAAGCTAGAAAATGGACGATTCGCCTCCAATATGCCTCGGGTCATAAGGATTTCCGTGACGGATGATGACGCAATGACCCGAGGCATTTTGGAGACATATTGGAGGCGAATCGTCCATTTTCTAGCTTCTTCACAGTAACACTCTTCTCAACTCTATATTTAACTAGAAAAGAATTACTATTATTCTCTATTGTCATCATTTTAGCTCTCGAGAAGAAATGAGAGTTATGAATTCTTTTTAACGGCAATTTGTAGAATTTAAGAAGGGTCAATAGCTGTAATTGAAGAAGTAAACTAATACACTAATACTTCAAAAATGTGAGATTATTAAGGATTCTACCCATGTCCATCCCTGATTCTTTTTATCTTCTTTTTTCTATTATAATTTATTAATTTATTTTAACTATCGCAATTTTTAAAATGTATCCTCTCTTTTCAAAAAAATTCTTTGTTTAGTTTTTAAAGGGTTAAGAAAAAAATTTTGAAAAAGTGAAAAAATAAGGATTCGAATTTAATGCACACAATTTTTTTGTCATATATGGAGTACTACGTAATTCTTTACTTTTAAGAAAAAATACTAAATTAGATATTTTATGTTTTTATACAAACAATTTCATTTTGTTTTTAATGTTTTTTGAGTATTCCGAAAGTTACCATTTTTGTTTGATTTTTTTGGGTCTTCAAAAAGACCAAATAGGGAGTATTTGAACACCGTACCAACTACCGAGTCTGCCAATCTTGGACCCCAAGAAATTGGGTTTTGGGGGTAAATATATGATTGGTCGTTAATTAAATAATTATTACTGTGATAAATTAAATATAGTAATCGCTTGAGAAAATCACCTCGTGATTAGTTGTACTTGTCACCCAATTAAATTAGTACTTCGTATGGAACATGGACATGGATGTCCTTTCACTTTCTTTATTTCTGTTAAAAAAACTGTGAAGAAGATGAAAAGAATATCTATTGCCTACCGAATATATTTGGCAAAAATTAAATTTTTTTCCATAAATAAATTAGTCTATTCCATTTCCTCTATTACCAGGCTATTATTGTATAATAACTGCTATGTATAAATTTATTGTCTGAGTTTAACTCGATTACTTTTCAATTAAATGAATGTAACATAATGAAACGAAATGAGTTGAACTATGTTCAACATGGGAGAGGGACTCCCTTTGGTCGTACCCCTTTCAAATGATTTCGTCTAACTACATTCAACTCATTTCGTTGAACATAGTTCAAGAGTAAGTCTCGTTAGATACATGTATCCATTGTATCACTTTGCAAACCTTGCTTAGCAATGTGAGTAAAGCATGGATAGATTCTCAGATATTCGAAGAGAAGTTTAGATTATCAACTGCTATATATATATATATATATATATATATATATATATATATATATATATATATATATATATATATATATATATATATATATATTATATATACATATACATATACATATACATATACATATACATATACATATACATATACATACATAGATATATGTATATGTATATGTATATGTATATATATATGTATATGTATATGTATATGTATATGTATATGTATATGTATATGTATATGTATATGTATATGTATATGTATATGTATATGTATATGTATATGTATATGTGTGTGTGTGTGTGTATATATATATATATAAAGGCAAAAAACCTTTCACAAGTTGATAAGAATGTGACCTCTAATGAAAATACTTAGAGGAAAGATAAAATTCAGTTTCAATTTGAGTTTGGGTATCAAAGTGCTTTTGTTAATGAAGAATGGATAGAAGTTGATGATGAAAATCACAAGTCCCAGCTTACGCTTGAAGAAGAATTTTGTACCTCTTTTGAAGATCTTAACATTGCTCATTCTTCTAAATTGAATTTTCTTTTAATACTACAACACCTGGATTTTTTGAAAAATAAAATAAAAAGAAAGAAAGAGTTTATGAATCAAAAGTAAATGATGAATTTCAAATGGTTGAAACATACCTTCAAAATCAAACTGAAGCTGATGGACTGGATTTTGAGAAAGAATTAGAGTTTGATTGGGAAAATGTTTTTGAAGATGATGAGACATATGTAGACTTTCAAAAAGATTCAGAACTTAAATATTTCTCAAATGAATTGAACACAGATTATGTGCTCCTGAAACTTTCACACAAAACAGTCATGTTCATCTTCAAAATGAGTGTCAAACCCAAAATTTTTCTAATGAAGTGGAGAATTTCAGTTCTGAACTTGAAACTGAAGTTGACATTGAAGCTGAAATTGATGAATTAAAAAGAGTTTTCAAAAATTTTGGTTTTGAAACAGACAGCTCACCAAATATTCAAAATAAAATAAGACCAAAAAGAGACCAACAAGATCTGTCTTAGTGAATTGAATACCCTTTCTGAAAGTGAAAAAGAAGAAAATATTCCTCATGACGTGGAAGTTGTTTCAAATGGGTTTAGTATGGCTAATCTTCTTGGAAATATAGAGATCATAGGAAAGATGCTAGGTGAATGTGAATCCAATATTGAAAACAAGATAGCTTTTGACAAATCTGTTGAGCAAAATATTTTATTGAAACTCTTTGGAAACACTGAAAAGACTTCCCAGAATATTAGAGAAATAAATGTTTTCAAAAAGAATTGGTATAGTAATCTTGAAGGTTTTAGAGCTAAGGTAGAAGTAGAAGAAGATTGTTGTTTGGGACTTGATCAACTTTATAGAAAATGATTTTATTGAGTTTCCTATACACGCTGAAAAAGATGAAGAGTTGAACCTTGAAGATATCCCACAATCTCATTATGCCAAGAAAAAGATAATAACTAAGGTGTACCAGATTGAACAACCTAGGTTAGAACTATGTGTGGGGGAGAACAAATTAATTCTTATTCCATACTAAACACCCCTAGTTTCTTTGAATCCTGAGAGAAGTTGTATTCCTTATTCTTTAAAGAGCTTCATTTTTGGAAAGGAAATGTTTGGTTTTAAGAATTGTATGAATGGTATGTCTATGTTTCTAAATGATGAGTCCATTAATAAATCCCTGGTTTGGAGGAAATCAAGGCTGCAAACTGACCATGAACAGCAGTTTATTGTTAAGGAACTTTCTCAAATGATTCTGATCTAAAACGGACTAATTTTTCCATCTTTGAAGCAACATGTTTTGATACAGATTTAAAACCTTTTCAAAATAGAAAAGCATATATTCTTAAGCCTGGAGAGTTTTATATACCTGTTTTTTTTGTAAATTAGATTTTGGAAAAGGATGTACTTGATTTTAGGCTTTTATTGAAGGTTATGCCCAGGATTTTTGGTTATGAATATGATGCCAAGGTGCTGATTTTGAGAAAACCAGTCCATTATTCTGCCCACAAGTACAGTGTTTGTGACATGGGAATATTGTCAAGGGATTTTGATTTTAAAAGAAAGAGCCAATATTTTTGTACTTGACACTTTTAAATCAGACTCACAATCAGTTCTTTCTTTCAAAATCAAAGGATTTACAACTAGAAATAAAGAGGCACCTTCCTCTGAAATCAATTTGAATCTATTTCCCAAAATCCAGAAAGAATATAGTCTCACTTCATTGGACCTTCATCAGAATAGGAATGAAAGGTTTAGAAGGAGGAACTTCATAAGCTTTGAATCTGACTTTTTGAATCCTTGTCAAACAAATGAGAAGTTCTTTTCAAATATGAGCAAAGAAGTCATCTCATTTGAGATTGAGCTTGATCCTTTTCCTAAAATCAATGATCCTAACATTTTAAATCTTGGGAGACAATATCAAACTTTACATGTTAATAAGATTACAAGAGCCAATAAACCTACTATAAGGAATGAAAATCAAGTTTGGAAACCACCTTGGTTTTAAACCAACAAAAGAGTCTATAGCCAAAGACTTAAAAATGGGCAGCTGATTGGGAGGCAATCCAAAATTGTTTTATTCATCTCTTTTATTTTTATGTTTTGTTTTCCTTTTAGTAATAAGTGGCGGTTGCAGGTCTTCCTCGCTGTAGGGTTTAAATGAAGACCTTGCAAATGTTTACATTGGTGAAACAGGGAGTCCCTCTTAACCCTTTTCTCTTGGTCCCACTCTGTTATGTGCTTATATGATACACCCACTCCCACTCTCTCTTGGCTGAATTCTATACATTGTGAAGTTGAAATCCCCATCCCATTCTTTCTTGGCTTTCCTATGATTTTACATTTACTTAAACCCCCATTCCCCTTCTCTTCTTTGCTTGATTCTAACATGATCTGCTTATTTTTCATCACATATCCATGCACTGAGAACATTGCATCATTTAAGTGTGGGGGGTCCATTACATGAAGTTTGAAATCTAAATTTTAATGGTTGAATTGCGGATTACTGGTTTCTAGTTCTGTTTTGGTATTTTTTTAAAAATCAGATCTGAATTGTGACTGTTTTTTGTCTTAAATGCTGATTTTTTTTGTAAAACCTGGTGAGTTTTTATTGTTTAATGCTTAAGAGGCTATTTTTCAGACATAATGGAGTCTTTTATGGCTGAAGGAACTTGTTTGAAATGATTTATGATCTATTGGGAAGGTCAAACAAAAGTCTTGACATGTTCTCACTTGAAATGCTCATATTTTATAGTGAATAGGCTGTTTTTTTTAAGATCAAATCAACTTAAACTGATTGTTAAGGGCAGTTTGGTTTCTAATTCTAAGTCAGTTCTTAATAAACCCAATTGTGAATGAGTCAAACCTCGCTACTTAAGTGTTTTGGAGAGACATTTTCCCAACATTGTCTTGAAAAATTTGAATGGAAATTTGAATGAGGATTACGAAATCTATTCATTTGATCATAAAAATCGGATTTCCAATGGCTTTGTTGCAAATATTGACAAGCATAGGAAGAATGTCCTACCCCAAAACAATTTTCACATTTAATTTGCTTCAAAGTTCAAACCCATATTCTGATTTTTCATTTTACAAAGATACTCTTGCATTTTTAAATCCAAATACTGAACCTGATTCCTTAACAGTTGATTGTTAATTGACTCGAACTCACCAGATGAGAACATATTGAAAATATTTTTGCTCAGTTGGTAGATTTAAAGACCAATAAACACACTAAGCAGAATCAAACACAGTTTAAATCTCAAATTCAAGCAGCAGAACAGACTCACAAGAACAGTCACAATCCGACCTTTCAGAATTAAAACAAGGTCTAGCCGTACTTACCTGGGCTCTATTTCTAATAAACTTGCCTGCACCAACTCTGTTTCTTAAGAAATGGTTGTATTGTAGCCTAAAAAACTTCAAGAGTTAGTATGCTGAAGATAGAACCCAAATATAATTCTATAATAATTGTTTAAATTTAAAGGCAGTGTAAAACAGTATGTAAAACAAGTGTATATATATTTGTTTAATTATGTAATGTATTTGTTTGTAAGGTAAACAGTGTAAGATAAACAGTATATATTTGTAAGATAAAAAGTATAGATTTGGTATAAGTTTGTATCTATATTTAGCTTAAGAGAGTGTTTTCAAAACTGTCCCCGGCAACGGCGCCAATTATTTTGAAAGAGAGAGAAACTAATAAGTAATTTGAAATCACCCAAAATAGGAATAACATATGGCATTTATCTCCAAAATAAGAATTTCATGTTTTTTCTCAAAATACAATTTTGCACTGTGACATAATGACATTGTATAGTGGTGTCTCATTGTACTCTTTGGTATTATATATTAGCATTATTAGCATTATACTCCTATTTAAGAGATAAAAAATTTGAAGTTCTTATGTTGTTAAACCGGGATAATAACTTCTAATTTCTTTTTAATTCCTATCTATTCCAAATTGATTCTCATATTAAAAAATAAAATTTTGATGACTATTTTTTTATGGCGTACAAATTTTGACTTTTTATAAATAAACTACAATTATACATTTTTCATATTTATTAATTTATATAAAAAGAAAAAAAATTTCTAAATAGTCCTTTATAACGAGGGAAGGAATTTCCACGTTTGGTCCTAAAAGTGGACTAAAAGTGGAATGATACTAAATTAATAAGGATTGTCTACTAAATAGGAACCCCCCCCCCCCCCAAATTTATTTAGGACTATTTAAAGAATTCACTCTTTGAGATAATACATAGTTATTGAGTACCGTTTTGAGAATTTATTCAAATTAAAATTGTATTTTCGTAATTGATGAGTTTTTGTTCTAAAAATGGATTAATTTGGGAAAAAACCCAATTTAAATTACTAACGTGAACTATAACGGGTTTGAGTGCACGGGGGAAATCACTTGAGTTTGACCAAAAATGTTTTGCATACCTCCATGCATGGAAGCAGCCTCCTTTGTAGTTGTAAACTTACAAGAAAGAAGAAACAAAATCTAAGGTTACATTTGGTACACGGAATTCAAGCCATGGAATTGGAATTGGTGACTTCAATTCCAATTTTGTCAATTCTGTATACCAAACGGGGGGGGGGGGGGGTAAGTGAAATTTCAACAATATCAAAGACAATAATGCAAGCTTGAAGCCTAACAAATACTGCTCTTGAAATAATCAGCAACTACATAGCATTTGATCCAACATAAATGATGTGAACGTACATTTCACATACATTTATAGTTACTGGAATACTGTATATATTTTCACAAAAGAGTAATAGTCAATCCTTCAATTAGTACAATGCAGGTCAAGGAGATTGAAATTATAGATTCTTCCCTCCACTCAAAATAAACACAATGGGTTAGAACAAACAAAACAACCAGGAGGAAATTAGAGTTGAGTTTGTTCCCTCTCTGGGAAACCACCCCAAAAATAAAAAAGTAGCACACAACCAACAAATTTCAAAAAAACATTTGAAGGGATTAGAATCCACCCGGAGGCACATGTTGTATTCAGTCGTTCTCTTCTTCACCTGTTATATTCAATCGTTCTCTTCTTCTTCCTCAGTCAGTTTTTTCTTTTCAATCCCTTCTTCCTCAGTTATTCTCTCATCACTCCAACAACCCCTACATCATACTCCGTAATCAATTTCTCAACTCGTATTACCAATCACAAATTCACGATATTCATCTATCTCTAGCAAAATAACATTTACCTATTAGAGTCACCCTCACTTGTGAGAACGGGTTCCTCTCTAGGGTCAATTGGGGTCCAACTATATTACTGCAGTCAAATTCAACATAATGGAGACAATCAAAATCTTAGCATAACAACAACAAACCTTAATTATACCAATCTTTCCAGTTGTGAAACAAAGAGTGCTAAAAACATGTCTCATGTATCAAGCTTCAAACTCCTTGAAGCCCTATACCTAACAAACAGATCACATACTTTATTATTTCATACTAAATGCATATAAAAAAGAACGTCAATTAAATAACCTGCGTCCATCACATTCATCCACATCTGTACGGAATCCTTTCAAATGCTCGATCAAAGTCCGCAACATATGGCACCCACAAGTAGTTGTTAGACGGACGGGAAATGTACACTATCAAGTTCGTCAACATAATTAAATTGTCAAGGAATTACATATATCCCATTATGTAAATTCAACTAGAAGACAAGTGTAGCATTCGTAATTATGATGATTTCCGATCGTTGGGATACAAAACTCACTCTTAATTTCTCCAAATTTTGATACATCAAAATACTTGGAATTCCTCATTGTCGTTAGCCCATAACTAACCGCCATTTCCTAAGTTTTGAAACGATTGCAAGCCCTAAAAACATTTGATTATTTCTTGATTAAGACAAAATTGACTATAGCTTCAATCTGTAACCAATACACTATTACATCATCATACCATTTCTCCAAAACTAACATGGCACGGTTGGCGCCAATTTCAATCGCCGCCCATCCTCCATGAACTACACAAACTCTTGACCCTACAAATTTACATTCATGCAAATACGGATGTTGTCATCAGACCATCCCCCACAATTATCTTTGTGTTTAGACCGCCCAAAAATGCCAGTTTGTTGAGGGAGTACCTAGATGTGTAATGACTAATACACTTAAAAATGGAATTTCTTCTCAAAATATTTGAACTCGTCATCTATCTTTTTCTTAGACATTCTATATAGTTTATCAATTACCTTTCATCATCCAACTACATAAGAATAAAAAACAAAATAGTCAATTTTACAACATAACACACACAACCACAAGCTACAACAAAATAAGAATAATACCTTACTAGCAAGACTTTGAAGTATGTTTTTTGAAAGATCAACATCACCAAAATGCATAGTCATAATATGCTTTTCAATACGACGAAAAGAGCCATCGGATATTAAGAGAATGAAGCCTTAATAGCCCAATAGAGGTTGTTTGGTGTGCTCTCTTTAAACAAAAACAAAAATTTTTATAGGAAACCATGTTTGTTCTATACACACCAATTTTCAGATCAATAAAGTCCAAGACATGATTTACATCATTATGAATTTAAACAAATATAAAAAAGTTTAAGCAGAGATGTTGGGAAAGAAGAGCTTTTTGTACCTGCCCTGACCTCGGCATTCAAATGATGAAACAAATGTGTCTGTCTCGTCGTAGCTAACAGACCCAAAGCGAGTAATTAAATACTAATGATAATTTGTCAGGTGATATCCATGCTTGTGTAGTTTACATAATATGCAAGGTTTTGTGATAATCACCTAACAAATTATCATTAGTATTTAATTACTCGCTTTGGGTCTGTTGGCTACGACGAGACAGGCACATTTGTTTCATCATTTCAATGACAAGGCCAGGGCGGGTACAAAAGGCTCTTCTTTTCCAACAACTCTATTTAAAATTCTTTATATTTGTTTAAATTCATAATGATGTAAATCATGTCTTCGACTTTATTGAATTGAAAATTGGTGTGTATAGAACAAACATGGTTTCCTATAGGAATTTTTGTTTTTTGTTTAAAGAGAGCACACCAAGCAACCTCTATTGGGCTATAAAGGCTTCATTCTCTTAATATCTGATGGCTCTTTTCGTCGTATTGATAAGTATATTATGACTATGCATTTTGGTGATGCTGATCTTTCAAAAAATATACTTCAAAGTCTTGCTAGTAAGGTATTATTTTTATCTTGTTGTAGCTTGTGATTGTGTGTGGTGTTGTAAAATTGACTATTTTACTTTTTGTTCTTATGTAGTTAGATGATGAAAGGTATTTGATAGACTATATAGAATGTCTAAGAAAAAGATAGATGACGAGTTCAAATATTTTGGGGGAAAATTCCACCTTTAAGCGCATTAGTCATTACACATCGATGTACCCCTTAACAAACCGACATTTTAGGCGGTCTAACAGAGATAATTGTGGGGAGGTGGTCTGATGATCAATGGCAACAGACGTATTTGCATGAATATAAATTTGTTGGGTCAAGAGTTTGTGCGGATCATGGAGGCTGGGCGGCGATTGAAATTGGCGCCAACTGTGCCATGTTAGTTTTAGAGAAATGGTATGATGATGTAATAGTGTATTAGTTAGAGATTGAAGCTATAGTCAATTTTGTCTTAATCAAAAAATAATCCAATGTTTTTAGGGCTTGCAATTGTTTCAAAACTTTGGAAATGGCTATTAGTTATTAGCTAACGGTAATGAGGAATTCCAAGGATTTTGATGAATCAAAATTTGGAGAAATTAATAGTGAGTTTGTATCTAAACGACCAAAAATCCTCATAATTACGAATACTACACTTATCGGTTGAATTTATATAATGAGGTATAAGTATTTTCTTGACAATTTAATTATGTTGACGAACTTGATAGTGTACATTTCCCGTCTGTCTGACAACTACTTGTGGGTGCCATACGTCACAGACCTTGATCGAGCATGGGAGCATTTGAAAGGATTCAGTACGGATGTGGATGAATATGATGGGAGCAAGTTATTTAATTGGCGTTCTTTTTTATATGCATTTAGTATGAAATAATCAAGTGGGTCTGTTTGTTTTGAATAGGGCTTCAAAGAGGTTAAAGCTTAATACTGAAAATATGTTTTAGCACTCTTTGTTTCACAACTGGAAAGATTGGTATAATTAAGGTTAATTGTTGTTGTTGTTACATTAATATGCTTAGATTTTGATTGCCTCCATTATGTGAAATTTGACTGCAGTGATATAGTTGGACTCCCAATTGACCCTAGAGAGGACCTCGTTCTCACAAGTGAGAGTGAGTCTAGTAGGTAAATATTATTTTGGCATCGTGAATTTGTGATTGATAATACGAGTAGAGAAATTGATTACGGGGTATGATGCAGGGCTGTTGGAGTGGTGGGAGTGTATCTGAGGAAGAAAATATTGAAAAGAAAAAAGAGAGTGAAGAAGAAGAAGGTGAAGAAGAGAGTAAGGAAGAAGAAGAGGGTGAAGAAAATGAAAAATCTACAGCCCCTTTAGTACCCGGTGTTTCCTTTTATAAATCAGTGTCACACAACTCCCTCGTAGTGATCTGATTTTAACATTCTTGTTGTTTTCAGAGCTCGATACAATCCACGTTGTCCATACCAAATCCAACAATCTCACAATAGACATCAAAACAGAAATGGCGCACTCACAGAAACTTTGGGATTGCATTATGTAAAGGTACACTAATGTAGGATTATTAACAATGAGTCTAATGACGATATCATCGAACGTATGGCGGCAATTACCGATCAAGATGAAGTAAGAGTACGAAAACCTGTATAGCGAAACAGCAGCAGGGACAGATCTGTAAAGATACCTCAATTCAGCTGACAAATCACAAGTTTGAAACAAGTAAATGTGTCTACTGACTAATGTTAGTTCTTCATATCAGGTACCAAACTGAGCAAACAACATTTTTTCAAACAGATTCAAATGAAAAAACCTAAGCAAAAGCAGATACGTTTCACCAGCTAAAAATCTCAGATTTGGAACTAAAAACCAAAGACTAAAGATTTAGACTTCTTACCCCAGGCCGACGAGCTTGGTATTCGATTAACGCCGTCCGGGAAATGAAAGAGCCCTAGACGCAATCCACTCTTTTCCGGCGTGTGCGTCTAGCCGCCTCCCAAAATAGATAAGGAGTAGATAAGGAGTGAGTGAAAGAGAAATGAATATCAGATTCGGATCCGATTGGAAATATTTGATCTAAAATCTCCTTCGACGATTGGGATTTATTAGAGAAGGTATAGGTTCTAGAGCAAAAAATTGCTGCTAGGTACCTCTAATTTTGGGATAAAGACTAGTAGGTCCCATTGTTTTTTAAAATATACTCCGAGTTACCTTAAGATATTCGAAAACTGACTACGGGGTGACAATCCGTCATTCTCTCCGTTAACATTTCTTTTCCGTTATCCTCCTCCTCCTCTTCTCAAAAAATTGCTGCCAGGTACCCCTTATTTTGGGATAAAGACTGGCAGGTCCCATTTTTTAAAAAAATTTACTCATGGGAATTTAAAATATGATGTTTGTGACTGAAAAGGGAACTTACGTATCATTTATAAAATTAAAATTATTTATTCACTTGGTTACATTATAAATTATACGTCGTAATTCATAATAATATTAAATTTAACACTATTTTTATTGTTTCATATTATCTTTACAAGACATATTAAATTTAACACTATTTTTATTGTTTCATCTTATTCTTTTCTCAAGTCCTCTTATTTTCTCGATTTACCATGACATCATTACCAATGACGACTATCAATGACTAATGCAGAGTACTATTTTTCTAAATAATACTCCGCAATGATTGTTACTCCGTATTTCTTAAAAATAGAGTAATACAATTACTACTCTGCAATTAACTTTTAATAATAATTAAGGAAATAATAGGAAATACATAATATTATCAATTTTGACCAAAAAAACAAAAGTAGACAAATACTCTAGAACAGAAGAGTAATTAATATGAAGTAATAATAATAACTAGTGGTATTTTTTAAAAAAGTATAGAAGTAAAATTACTAATTAATTGCTTAAAATAAATAATAGTATTAATAATAAGTGTTATTTTATAATAAGTGCTATTTTTCTAAATAACAATTAGTGTTTTTATAGAAAAGAGTGGTAAAACTAACAATTAATTTTTATTAATAATAGTAATAATAATAAATCAAAAAAATTAATAATAATAATAGAATAAGAAAATAATAATTATGAAGTAATTAATTATAATAATTATTAACAAATAATAATAATTATAATAGAAGAAGAAAAAAACAAAAGAAAAGGTAAAAGAAGAAAAAACGGGGGTGGGGGAGGAATGGAGGTCACTCGAACTCTGGAAGGCAGGAGAAAGAAGAAGAAAAGAAGAAAAGAAGAAGAAGAAAAGAAGAAAGGAATGTGATCTGCCAGTCTTTATCCCAAAATAAGGGGTACCTGGCAACAATTTTTTGAGAAGAGGAGGAGGAGGAGGATAACGGAGAAGAAATGTTAACGGAGAGAATGACGGATTGTCACCCCGGAGTTAGTTTTCGAATATCTTAAGGTACCTCGGAGTATATTTTGAAAAACAATGGGACCTGCTAGTCTTTATCCCAAAATTAGAGTTACCCAGCAGCAATTTTTGGTTCTAGAGCCACTCAAAATGAGTGGCTACAGAAGTCATTCATCCAATTGGGACACTTACGATGTTTCGTTCACAAAATTTAGTTCCTATCCCTTTTAATCCCCTAATGAACCTCACTCGATCCCGATTTCAACTCATTCCCATAAACACGTCAATTGTGGGATGCAAATTTAGTTGACTTTAGAGTCATTTTTTTAATTTAAAGTCAATTATATTTACAGGATGCAATTGATGTAGATGGGGAATGATTTGAGATCGTGACTTGACGGGGGGCGTTTAACGGAGGGGTTAGGGGGGGAATGAATTATCAATTTTATGAACGGAGTTCCGTAGGGTGGCAATAGCCTCCGTGGCCATTGAAACCCAGTGGCCACCGAACCAGACCGATTCGAAAAAATGAATATTCTATTTGATATTTTAGTTCTCGGGTATTTTGGATCGGATATTTTGTCAATTATGTTATATTCTTTTTACATACATTTACAAATTTGTGACTTGTGATGATCATATATGTATTTAACATACGTGTATCACGCAATGGTTTACATAATCATAAGAAAATTATGTAAAATACAATTATATAATTATTTGAAGTTTATTTCTAATTTGTTCCATTTTCTTGTAGTTTTTTTCCAATGTTTTTGCAACATTTAACTATTTTTTTTCAAGGGGACACCTTATATGAGCAATGTTAGGTTCACAAACAAGATGCTCACAAACTTTACAAACTTACTATTTATGGTTTAAATTTTCATTTTAAAATTATTTTAGACTATTTAATTTTTTTATTGAAGTTCACAAATAGTAAATTTGTGAGATTTGTGATCATTGTGTTTGTGAAAAAAATAATTTTTAAAGTAATGGTGATCGTTTGAAAAGAGTAGCTTTATGTTTTTAAAGTAATACTCTTTAGACGCTCATAAAGAAGCCTTGACTACTAGATTATCCTTAGTAGTTCAATTGAGAAAAAATATTGATTGAATATAAATAAATTAAAAAAATGTAATATAGTTAAATTATTCAAAATTATTGATAACGAGTCCAAACTAGTCCTTAAGATAAACTAATTACATGAGGAGGAATAGGCATCACCCAACATCCTTTATAAAACACAAAGAATTATAGGTATGAAAGTTTAACATTTTTAGTAAATATGATAATGCAACCGCAGTAAATGATTAAACTGGTATTGAACTGTATCCAAGAATTCCTAAAAAAAGATTATGGTACTAGTAATTACTACTCTCTTCGTCCGAAAATGTTATTCATATTTAACTTTTCTCGGTCAAAATTTATAAATTTTGACTCCAATATAGGAAAAAATATACATTGCATTATGATATAACTTTAATATCAATACATTCCTACTGAAATATAGTTTTCAAATATTAAATTTCTATAAAATATATCTATGTATAAATAAAGATATTAATAGTTAAAATATAATTTTGGGAACCGTGAAAAGTCAAATGAGAAAGTATTTCGAAACGACGGATGGAGTAATTATCTTCCCACCTTTCTACTTTCCTAATTGGGTGTCCTCACATTTTATTCTACTTTTGTTTAAAGGAAAAGATTATGTGCTCTATATTAATTTTTCTTTTGTGAACACAAATTGCTGCCACACACGTTTAAATTTATTAAGTGGGTGTTTCTCTGTGTTGGTACTTATTGGTGTATTGTTGATAATGAGTTTTTAACTTATAAGCAGCTTATAAGTCAAATATTTTTAATGTAAGTAAATTGGCTTAAATGATAGATAAGTCACTTGAAATATTCATGGTGAGGAACAATTATGTAAATAATCTGATCAAAACCAAAAAACGAAAAAACTGACTTAAAAATAAATAGCTAAGACCTACTTATTTTTTCTGGTTTATAAGCAGCTTATAACTCACCTTATAAACACACAAAAACATTCTCCAAAAAGGTGAAATCGCTCACCCCGGGCGCCCCTTACCCCCGACCCGACGGGATTGTGAGAGGAGGTAAATCACGGTGACCCAAGCACAACACTTAGCTAGACCATATCCTAGTGCGCAAACATATCATCGACTGACTTATAAGCTAAAACTGCTCATAAGCAATTTTGATCGACTTATAAACACAGAGAAACACTGCAAAATATTTTGTCAATCCAATATAATATAAACAGCGCAGGCATTAACCTGTAATGACGAATCCATTGTCTTAATAATTCCTATGTACCATCCCAAAATAAAGTCGCACCTTTTTTTGTCACAAAAAAATGCACATTGCTTTATTTACTTTTTAGGAATGTGGGCTCATATCATTTTTTATTCTTCTATACAAATTTTAATCATATACGGAGTACTTAGGGAGGGCGTCACTACCTTCCTCACGCCCCTTATGCCCTGTCAACGGCGCCGACTTCAAATGAAGGGGGGCATTGCCCCTCTTCCCGTCACCTTGCCCACGGGCGCTGCCCTTCCCCTTTCTCTTTATTTTTTTAATTAATCAAAATTTAACACATATTCATATCTTACCACTTTTCATCACACTCACCATAACACACATTTTTTCATCACTCGACATCATATATCTTTACACCCTATCAAGTCCCATCAAACGCCCCGTCAAACCCGCCATAACACATAGCCTTAAACAAATTAGGATGGTTCATTGCAATTTCCAATATGCCCTATCTTAACAAGGCTTTCAACTTTTCCATGTTAAGTATCATAATCTACTTGGGAAGTGAGAGCCACTAGCTAGAATAATTCAATGTATTTTGAAAATTATTCCTAAAATGGGGCAACAATCATTCAAAGAAAACCACTCAATTTCAAACATTAAAGAATTTCAATTAGATCACTATAAGAATAATATGAACAATTCAATAATAATAACAAATCACTCATTAGTTTAAAAGAAATGAAATTTGCAATTCTAAAAGTACCAAGATGCAATAAATACTCCAAATAAGGCTTTAGAATTCTAGAAGTTTGGACATGGAAAGGGGGTGAAGAATTTCCCTTCACTAATGCAAAACTCAACTGAAGAAATTAGAAAAAACTGAAAAGAATTAGAGAAACTATGAGGAGTTGAAAATATTTAGAAATTAATTTTTTGAATCGAAAAAATAGAGTCTAAGAATACTGGAGAGTAGTTTGACCTTGAGAATGTCACCCAAAGATCACACATTGGATTTATTATTTCCACTATTGATAATAACAATCCACTATTTTTTATTTTTTTTAGTAGGTATAGAAACGGTATACAGTATACTTCCTCTATCCGGAGTTGAATTTCCTACTTCAAATAATGTGTAAAATATCATCATTTTAAAGTAATTTTATTTTCAAATTGATATTGGCCGTTTGGTTGAGCTTGAAACAAAGCTTGGATATTTGCAATAGATTGAAAGAATTCCAAATAGATCTAATAAAATAGAGAGCCAAAGTTTTAAATTCAAAAAAAAAAAAACAATTAAAGTAATACTCCCTCCGTCCCAAAAAGATTTACACGTTTCAAAAAAATTGCGTCCCACAATCTCTTACCCATTTCTATTAAAAAACCACTTTTACCCCTTACTTTTTCAAACCCTATCTATCACATCATACCTTTTTCTTAATAATCTACACATCACATCCTACTTTTACCCATCACATCAAGGATATTTTTGGAAAGTCAACACAAAATTATCACTCCCTTAATTTCAACTTTAGTCAAAATGGGTAACACTTTATGGGACGGAGGGAGTATTTGATTGGCACTTTTTTGTGACACTACGTACCGTTGACCTTGCAATGCCACTACCATTTNCCCCCCCCCCCCCCGCGATAAACCTTACCCCAACCCGGTCCGAATCCACCTCTCAAGCTCTTCAATTTCATCCCAAAAACTTTGTTGACTTTGGTGAATATGAGTCATCAATTTTACAAACGGAACAACATAGTTGCTTCAATTGAAGCCGGTGTCATCCATTAACACTCAAAATGAGTGTCAATGGAAGCTAGCTAGTATTCTATAAACAAAGCAAAACAAATTTTAGAAAACATTTGGGAAAAAAACATAGGCAATGAACCAGGAGCAGGGAAAAAAAGAAAAGCAACCAAATGTGACATTCCACATCTGCATCCAAAAAAAATTTAAACAATACCCCCCTCTCTTTATTGCCACATAATTAATAAACACACATTCAATAGTTCTTTTATTTAAAGCAAAGCACAAATGACAACCGTACAATGTGGGAATCCAAAACATTCAACACAAAAGTAGAACAATCGTTGCTCTTTTAGCAGGTATTGAGTGAAAACCACAATCACAATTGCACAAAGAAGACATGAAGTATTCATCAAATAGTCCTTTAGAATCCTAGAAGTTCACCAATTGGTTGCCAGCCTCCATCCAAACAAAGCCTTAGAGACCAAAGTACCAAGATGCAACAGATGACACTCCAAACAAGCCTTTAGAATTCTAGGAGTTTGGAAATAATAGCTTTTGGGAAGGGATAATGGACACATGTTCTATCCATAAATAAGAGGGCAGAATGATGGTTCATTGCAACTTCAAATATGCTCCATCTTAGTAAGGCTTTCAACTTTGCCATGTTAGATATCATCATCTACTTGAGAAGTGAGAGGCACTAGCTAGAACATTTTCGATGTTTTCCGCAAATTGTTCTTAAGATGGGGCAACAATCATTCAAAAGAAACCACTCAAATTCCAACACTCAAGAAGTGAAAGAAATTCAATCAGATCACTATGAGAATAATGTGAGCAATATAATAATAACCATTCGCTCAGAAACTTACAAGAAACGAAATTTTCAAACGAAATTTGCAAATTCTAAAAGTCTAACCTTTTTTGTTGATAGATTACCAAAATCTTCACGAAACCTATGTTGGACGGAGGCGGAAGCGTGCTCAAACGGGGACAGGGTTGGGAACGAGAAACACCCATTTTTTCTAAATCAATCCGTGCAACATTCAACACTACAGCAAATGCACCAACAAGGAAAAAGACCATTCCAAACTATTCTCATTCCACTCTATGCATTTTTACTTTTCCTCCTCTTACTGCTATGCAAATCCTCTTCAATTTCTTCACCTTTCCTCTTCTTCGCCTCGACAGCAAAAGTGTCCCCTTCTGAGCCTCGATCGCCTTTACCTGAATTCTTATGCTTCTTCTTCGTCTCAGCCGCCAGAGCCTCCCTTCGAGTTCCTCCATTGGCTTCAGAAGAACTCTTCTGTTTCTTTTCCTTCTTCACACTATTGGCTGGGGACCTTTCAGCCTTCACCTTCTTCTCAGTGATCTTTTCCTGGTATTTACCTGAATCTCCACCATCCACACGCTCCTCATTCTTCACCTTCTCTTTGATTTTAACCTTCTCTGCACTGTGATTCCTCTTCTCCTCAATCTTAACAGGGTTTATTTCAGTTTTAACCAAATTTCCGTTTCTGGAATCTGAATCTCGCTTCTTCTTGTGTTTCTTACTCTTGTGATTCCCTTGTGGAATATTCTGGACATGCACTGGCTCTTCTTCTTCCTTCTTAACAGTCTTCGGATTTATTGGGCTTTTCAGGCGGATGTGAAACTGAACCAGGTGATTGAACGCATCGGCGGCGCGTGAGATGTACACTGAGATTGCATCGGAAGCTCCCGTGTCCGAGGCGGCAAAGTCCGCCATGATTGCGGCGGCATCGGCGAGTGAAACCGGCGCCGTTGAAACCACTCTCCCTGATATTGTCTTCATCACGTTGAATCGATGTGGTGCCCAAATGCTGCGAGGAACAAGAAAACAATACGGAGTAATTACTTGATAAAGTCACTGAAAAAAATGCTCTTTTTCTAACCCTAGTTCTCTAATTCGACAATTTAAAGTTCAAAACCCATGTTTTCAAACAGAGTTCAACAAATCTGAACTCCGAAGACGAATATATTGGAAATTCAAACGAAAAACTTGGCACAACCGTGCACAAACCAGCAGAATTTCAATAAGCATTCTCAGATTTCGAACTAAAAACAAAAGAGAAACCCTAGATTTAAAGTGTTAGAATTCTTACCCTTGAAAACTCGTCCTAATAGAACTCAGCCCAGCTTGGGACTAAAAACAAAAACGCCGTTGTGGAGGAGAACTTGTATGAAGAACAAATGTGAGGACGACCGGCTCCGTTTGGGCTGGCTTAGATCCGGCGGAAGACCTGGGGGAGCGAAAAAGTTTACATTCACACAAAATTTTGATGTAATAAAAAAAATTGTAATGATATTTTGTATTATTGTAAACTATTAGTCTATTATACTAGTATTAGGTTAGTACGAAATGTTGATGCATGTTTTTAGGGTACAAAATGAGATATAATTTTTACGATACAAATAGCTTAATTCTATTCTTTCTTATCTTTCTTCACACCACGACAGAACATTTGTCTAGTTTTTATTTTTGCAAGCAACTTTTTTTAACTTTGGCCTATAATCAAATAAAAAATACTCCCTCCGTCCTGGAATATTCTTTCAGTTTTGACTTTTGAAATTGTTCATCTAAGCACTTTGATTCATCAAATCCTCTCATTGTGTAAGCTTAAATATAGTCATGTGTGATCTTATTTGATTTGTCTTAACATATAGATTATTAATATATAATTTCTATAATTTTTTAATATACAAATTACAAGATAAAATGGATTAAAAAAGTGTATTGGATAGTGTGTAAAAATGTAAGTAGACAAATACTCTGGGACGGAGGTAATATATAATACGGAGTATATTTTTTAACAAAATAATCATTTAAAAATATTTTATAATATACTTCGTATATCATATAAAATAATTTTTGTATCAATACTTAATATCAATTTTATTTAATTTATAGTCAAAATTTATAACTTTTCACACTAAGAGCACCGGAAATACCTTTGAAGTCCCGGGGTTTCAAAATTTCTCTCTATGCTACATCAGTTTTAACTTACCTCACAATTTCACTGGGAATGGGTATGTAGCCCCGGGGCTTCACACTGGGGTTTCAAACCTTGATTTTCTTATTTTTTCATTACATATTTTATGAAATTAAATTAATAAAAATTATTAATTAATTAAATTTAAAAGGCAATAATTCATTAAATGAAAACAATTACCTTCAATAAAAAAGAACATTTAATTAAAAAAATTACATTATTTAAAAACTTAAAACAAATTATATTTAGCCTTGATCTCGTTATGTCTTCTCTCGAAAGCAAATTATATTCACTTGGTTGTTTGACTCGAGACTGGATAAAGGAAAATTAAAAGTGATGAAGAGATTCATGCTAAAAAAGATGAAAGAAATTGAATTTTTTTTTTTTAAATTTGAAGAAGATAGAGGAAAAAATTTTGTGGGTGTTTAGTTTTTTTTAATTGAAGAAGAAAGATTTTGTTTTTGAGTTTTATTTTTAAAAATAAGTTAATTTATAGAATATTTTTTTAAAAGTTTGTAGCGGTTTGAAGGAGGAAATTCAGGGCAAAACGCCCGTTATACGTTTGACGCAATGTTAATAACGCCTGAATGAAGCCCCATGGGAGTGGTGTTTCATGCCCCTGGAACGTTAAAAGAGGAATGACGCCGCAGGGTGTTAATACCATTGCAACTCCTTAGTCTAAGAGTATATAAATATTTAGGAACACTATCTTCTTTGGTAGGCACTCAAAAGTTTGGGAATTTGGCCAACTCCAAACAAAAGGAAAGTAGGCCAAGGGTTGAATAATAAAGGGCCAACAAAATGAGTGAGATAAAATTTGGATATGTTGTTAGAAAGTGTTTGGGACTTGGGAGTATGGTAAATTAATGGAAAATATAAATTTTAGGACGCTTAATATTGTTTTTAAATATATAAATTTTATTTATTAATCAAATAAATTAAATTAAAAATAAAGTCAGTCAAACCTCGTAAACAGAAACGTGAAGATCATTTTATGACGGAGAGAATATCATATTTAGCTTTCAAATCCCATTTGTTGATTGAAATCCGAGAGTCAATTAAGGGGTGATGCTTACATGATCTTAAAATCCAAAATTAAAATGTGAACTTTCTCACATTTTTCATGAGCTTACATATGGACATTTTCTTCTTTGCTAAATGCTCGCTCTTTTTATGTTATAAATGCACTCAGGTTCATAAAAATTTTTCTCAATTAAAATATCAAAAGATGAAAATACTAAAATCAACATCATCTTGAAATATTTGCACTAAATAGCACTAAAACTTAAGTTATTTCCCTAAATAGCATTAAAATTGTTTTATTCCCTAAATAGCACTTAATAATGTCCATAATATCCAGTGATGATGAATATTTACTTGAATAATGACTAATGCATAATGACTAAAAGTGTTACATTGGGAAGAAAATCACATGTAGTGTTATTTAAGGAAAATCATATGTTTTAGTGCTATTTATGTAAATTCCCCCATTTTTACCGCAACCTTCCATAAATGAAGAGTAGCGAGAAAGTAAAGGCACAAAATACACTACGAAGGTCCGGGGACATTACCTCTCGATTAATATATTTTTATAATAAGGTTAATATAAAATAACAAAAAACCAATAAACAAACATTTAAAGGAAAAAAAAACCAAAAAACATATTTTAGTCTAATCTAATTTTACTAATGTTTTATTTGATTGTAGGGCACTTTTTCGATTCGGTATTTTTCAGTTCAATCTTCAATATATAGGTTTTTTTTGGGAACACTTACCATTGCCCCGTTTGACGCCTCCTCTAACGGTTTTTCACGCCGCGCACGCAGAGAGAAGAGGAACGAGTTCAGAGAGGAGCGGCCGGCGTCCAGGGCGCTAGCTTCACAGGCGCGAGTCGCACTTCAGGCTGGGCCCAATCTGAGTTTGTTTCCGAACAGTAATCAACCGTAACAATTCTCGAACCTTGGATTTCGAGATTTCTTCTCTGAATTTGAAATTTAGAGATTGTTAGTTGCTGATTTCTGAATTCGATTGAGTTGAATCGTTGAATTTGTGGCTCGAATTACCGTTAATGCGCTGAAATCATACTTTCTATTAGAATCTGAGTCTATATTGAAAATTGCATGCTTAAAATGTCCATTGCTCATATTGTCATTGTTAATTATGATTTCCAGATGATAATGTGTGAGTAGTTTGCTCGTGTTTGATTCAACTAGGGTTTAGTCCTTAGCCGATGCATGTTTTTGAGTGTTAGATGGTTCTATGGCTTGCTTGATTTTTCAATGATTTAGATACTATCCTCAATGTCAAACTCGTCACAATGGACTACGGCCAATGTACATGATTTTTTGGCAACCTTTTATCTCTTAACATACTAAGAGTAACGACTAGCTGGTTGGTTGTTAATCTTAGTGGAAACGGTGTGGTACGGAGTGTGTGCTTAATGCATTTTTTTAGTTAGATTCTTTACACTATGATGGTTCGAGGAATTTGGAAGGAAAAGAAAAGAAAATGGTTTTCCCTGATTTTCCTCACTAAAATGGAAGGAATTTGGGTTTCTCTCCTCTTTGTACGTTTTCTTATTTTCTTTTCCTCTCTAACTAAACAAGAAAAATGTTTTCCTTCTCATTTTCTTTTCCTTTCCTTCTCAAATTCCTTGAACTAAACATAGTGTTAGGCTCTGCCTAGGGATTCTACTTTGAAAATAGAGTCTAAGGGTGTTGGGCCTGATAGACTGCTTATTTGAGAATAGGGATTGAGCAACTACTCAATTTGTTGCTACCTGAGAAGTAGCCAACAACTACTCGAACAACTACTCGATTTGTTCTAGTAAAAAAAAACCCTAAATTCATACCCAAAGTTGAAGGAATCTAATTGGCAAAACAGCGTTGCTTTGACATTAAGAAAAAGTTCAAGGGGACACTTTACTCTATGCAATATGGTGTTTTTTGTTTGCTTGGGAAAAATTCTCGTTGAGTATTGAAGGTGTGATTTTGATTTTATGGTGTTTGTTGTATGCTATGACATTAAGGAAAAAGTTCAAAGGGACACCTTATTACATGCAATATGGTGTTTGTTGTTTGCTTGGGAAAAATCTTGTTGAGTATTGAATGTGTTGAATTTGATTTGATGCAGGAATACAAGAAAGAAATGCAACCGGAGATCAAAACGGTAACAGCTTCCCCCTACGTTTCTTGTAATCGCAATACGATAAAAAGACTCGTCTGCTCTATTGGCATCTAATACCTACTCTGCTGCTACCAACCCTACCTGCTTCGAATGGCACCCAACGCAAATGAAGACAACCGGGTCCCACCATGGTTCCTCAACCCACACACCGACCCCAAGCTGGTGCTAATGTCACTCGACCTAATCAACGCAGCCGCTTTGCTGCCACTGGGCTCATTGATGCTGATCATGTTCCTCCTTTACTGGAGATTGCTTATGCTTATCCGTTACACACTGTCCCCAGTCGTGACGTAAACACCTATGTCCCTGACAGCCAAATGATGTTCCACGTGCTTGGCCTCTGCGATCAATTGATGGTCTCTACCGCTCGCTTCACGCAGGGCTGTCCTCCATGGCTCCCTGTAGTTTCACAGCTTTACACCTCAATCCTCTGGATCACCCACATCCTCAAGGTTCAAGTGAATGCAGGTTACGGATTTCACTTCCGCGCCCTGTTGGACGATCTCTTCGCCCTTCAGCTGGATCAATGCATGATCCCCGGACCCTTGGTCCCATTCTTTCAGTCCGTGACCGCGGTCCACGGTCCCCACCCATGGATTGGAGACATTACACCAATTCTCCCGCCCTATGTCCACCTCTGGGAACCTAACCAACAGAGCATCGGCGAGAACTTTTCTCACCAAGTGCCCTTCCCGGCTCTCATGCTTGACCAGCTCTTCTTGTTCGCGACCGCTCAGGCTGATGATCCAGAAGAATCTCTCTACCAGACCTTCAAGTGGTACAACAACACATTCGCTCTTGATTTTGGTAAGAGCCCGCGTTCGTACTACCTTGGTCCACAGATGTGCTGTTCACCTTATGTCAGCCAGAGAAAGTTCGACGCTGCTCGACGCTTCTGGTCTCAACACATCCGCACATATGCCCGCACTGATCTGAGTCGAGGCAGCCTCCCTTTGGATAGCTATCACAAATTCCTTGGCTTAAAGACACAGCGCGGTGCCCCTCAAACTTCTTGGTTTTCGCAGGTATCGCAAGCCATGCAAGTCTACTGCCAGTACTTCTCTGAGTCTACTGCACTTGCCTCCATCTCAACCACAGGAACCGGCGCCAGCGCTGTCTTTGGCAAACCCATCGCAGACAATGCTGTATCCGGATGGCTTCACCCAAACGACGATCATCTCATTGGTTTCCCTTCCACAAGGACAACTCCACTTCGCGCCATGCCCGATGAACTTGTGATGTGCTTCCAACACTCCCACCATGGGATCGACGAACGGGCCGAAACCTATGCTATTGTCTCACACACTAACATCGACTGGGCTGGGATTCGCCGCGGTGCGCCCCACAGGGTCGATATTCAGCAGCGACGTCTCAACCGCTCTGGCGGCTACTGGGACCGTGATCCTCATCGCTTTAGCGGTCCAGTTTCTCTGGCCAACCAGTACAACCAGTGCATTGTTTCTGTCTACCACCGCCAGTAAAGCAATCAAGATGAAAACTGATCGAGCTATAGGGGTGGATAGAAAATAGGAAAAGTTTGAAATTGAGTCTTTGAATTCCCGGTTTCACTCGAGAGTTTTAACTCCATTCATCCAATACAAAATGAAACATGTGTAATCAATAATAATCATTTTTTGAAAAAGTAGTTACAATTATTTTGTAATAAAAAAAATCAATGCTCCCCAATTGCAAAAAAAAAAAAAAAAAACTCAATCGCTAATTATGTATACTTATATGATTTAATATTGTTGTGCTTTTTCTTGTAATTTTTATTTTATGCAATTTTATATTTTATTTTTCTAGGAACAAAACACACATTTTTATGCAATTTTAGACGGAGTTTTTTAATTTTTTTTTTGGAGCAAAACACTGAAACACAAGGAGTAAATGTTATGTCATTTTACATTTCAATTATGTATACTTCTGTAATCCTTAAATTTAATTTATTTTATTTTAAATTTTATTTTATGCAATTTAGATTTTAATGTGCGTTTACTTAAATGATTTTAATAAAATACACTTATTTATTTTATGTGTCTTAATTTTTTTCTCTATGACTATATGTTGTTGACTTTCTTAATGTTTAATTATATTTATAAATAAACTTAATAGAAAAGATAGTGTATAATACAATTATATATTAGATAACTATTTAAATAGATACACCTTCCGTTCCAAAAAGATATTTGTGTTTTGATTTTCAAGTAATTTAAGGAATATTTTTGTGTTGATTTTCCAAAAATATCCTTGGCATGACGAGTAAAAATAAAATGCGATGTATAGTTTAAAATGTATGATATGATAAGTAGGTGGTGGAGAGTGAAAAATACTAAAATGCTAACCTAACAAAGTTTAAATATTTAGTGTATAAATTTAGTCTTGAAAAGGTGAGAAGGTATATGGTACAATGAGATGTATCGTACATCCGGGTAGTACTCATTCTAAAGTAGAGTAGTGCTCATTCTCGTAGAAATATAATTAGTGTGATACTCATTCTAAAATAATGTAGTACTTATTTTCAGACATTAGTTCAATATAATTATAAATATTCATTTATAAATAATGTAGTGTTCATTCTGAAACAAAAAAATACTTATTCTCAAATAATTTAGTATTCATTCTTAAAATAAAATTCATACCATAAATAATTTTGTATCAAATACAAGCAACTAGCCAACTAGGTTTTGACGAGCCTACGTGCAAGTTTATTTATTACTCCGGTACAAGCATTTCCCCGCCGGCCAATTTTCCCTCAGCAAAACGACCGGAAGAGGGTCAAGATGCGGCATCTTCTCCGAACAGTAGCTCGAAAAGCTCTCTCTTCTTCTCAATTCCCTCGAAGCAAAGTTCATCCTTCTTCTTCTTCTTCCTCTTCACAGTGCTACTCGCGTCTCGCATCGGATCAGCTCCACTCTCAGTACTTCAATCTCTCTTCTCTCGCCCCGCTCTTGTTCTTCATCCCCTCTGTTGATGAATTCGATATGATTTTTTTTCCTTGGATCACGAACCTGTGTTGAATTGTTGTGTTTTAGCAGCGCATCGTCATCGTTTGGCATCGCATTTGACATCGACGGCGTCCTCCTCAGAGGCGGGGTTCCAATCGGCGGTTCCCGTCATGCTCTCAGACGCCTCTACGACGATTCTGGTGGTTTAACATTCTTACTCATATTTTATTTCTGTTTGCTGTTTGTTTTCTGAATCCTGCACATTCCGGTCCCTGTTCTCTGATCACATTAGATGAAGACATTCAAAGGAAATCAGTTTTTTTTTTCTTAAATAAAAATCATACTCATAATTTGTCTCCTACAAAGAAATTAGACTACTTTAGATTATCTTATTTCATTTTAGGTTTTAGCTCGACCAACACAAATTCTTTATCTTCTTCTTAGTCTTCTGCTAGAAAGGTCTTTCAGTTTTCCTTTCCAAATCTGGATCAAAATTAACTCATAAGTCACAGAATTGCTCAATTTTTGTGCATTTAGTTCCTCTCCCTTGTCTAAATTGGAATTTTCGGGAAAATATGCCAATTTCTTTTTTTTCTTTGAACAAAGCACAATTTTATTACACTCCATCCAAACAGAACATACAAAAAAACATCAGCTCAGAAAGAAAACAACTATACCATGCTATTACAGATTCTTGGCATTAGCAATTTAGCACTAATTTAATTGTTAGTATAAAATTTGACCCGTGTAGTGCAATCCAATCCAACACGCTCATCGCTTTATTTGAAAATATGCCAATTTCTTGATGGTATGATTATGTCATAATTTGTGAGTGTTCTTTTTTTCATGGTATTTATGATGTCTATATAAAGCCGCTAAAAAATATGATGCCTTGACATGTGCAGGTGCTATGAAAGTTCCGTATGTTTTCCTGACCAATGGTGAGTTATCTTCAAGTCAATTTGTTTATGTATTTCTGCTAACTATGCAGCAATGCTCAATTATTTTATGCAGTAGCATACACTGCATCTTTGGTCTTTGACGGTTTTCTTTTTATATAAAGAAATTCTGCATTTTTTTCCTCTTAACATGTAGCTTAGTTTTAGACAAAATCTCCATAAAAACAAAAAATTAGCCTTTGATGGTTTCTTTTCATGCAAAAATTAAGCTCCATGGCTTGTGTTATTTTTTTTGGAACTGTTGCTTCCTGTATTTGTAGGCTATAGACTTGTACAATAATTTCCTTGCTCAGATTTGGCTACACTTGTTACAGCTTTGGTATTCTTTACTCTACCCATTGCAAATTTAGTGTATAGAAATAGTCCTAATTTTTTATAGCATTTAAAGTTTTCCTTTTTCTTCTCCCATGTCCGTTGTATTTTCCTTCGCTGGTGGATGTCTCTCTCTCTCTATGTGTGTGTGTGTGTGTGTGTGTATCATCACTACTAGACAATGGAACTAAAAAGTCATTTTGACCATGATTTAGCTAGGGGTAAACAATGGACTAAAACTAAACGGTACATTAAACTTCCCTTGCTGCTTAATTTTTATAAAGTATTTGGTGGTAAATGACTAAATGTAACAATGCATCATGGGTCCAGCGAAAACCTCTTTGTTTTTTACAACGGTAAGGTTGCATACATCTTGACCCTCTAGACCCAACAGAGTTGAGATTATACTTGGTTTGTTGTGGTTTCAATCATTATTAAACCAAAACCCTTCTCGCACCGTGTTATCCACTTTTATATCTTATACTACAACTACTTGCTTTCTCAAATCAATAATTTCGAGTAGAAGGTTATAAAATCCTGCATAATGATGGAGTGCATTAGTGATTTTTTAATCTTTCATCTAGTAACTGGATACATGTATTTCCCATATCCATAGAGAGTTGCAGTTATTGCTTTATACTTTGTAGTTTATGCAAAGACCTTATTTGTCATCTTTATTATTCAATAGGAGGTGGTGTTCCTGAACTTAATAGAGCAAAGGAGCTGACCAGATTGTTGGGGAACAATGTCCTAGCCTCACAGGTGTGGTTGTTTGGGTACCTTGCAAGTTGCAATCGCAATTTTGTGTTGTACTTGGTCAATTTCTCTTACTCTTGCAATTTCTTCTTTTAGGGAAATACCGTCGTCGGGTATTCAATTCTCAAGTGTCTTTGTGCTTTTTGTTATTCTCAACTTCAATGCGGTGCAGGTTATACAGGGCCATACTCCTTTCAAACAATTGGTGAAAAGGTATGCAGTACTTCTTGTTAACTTCTTGTTTCATCTACAACCCATCAATGATGACAACCAGCTTATTATATATCACTAAATTGTGTGAACTTCCTAGCTAATATGAGGTATAGTAAACCAATACAATATTCACGAAGACATTAATGGGCATGCAATAAGAAGTTGAAGTTAAAAATTGTGTGCATTGAGGGGAGTGGTAGAGGGGAAAAGCGAAAAGGAAAACTAACGAACTTCGATAATGATACATCAAATTCACCTTATTGAAAAACAATATTTCGTTTGGTAGATTTCATCATCTTTGGTATTTATATTGCAGATTTGAGAATGAATTCATTGTTGCTGTTGGAAAAGGTGAACCTGCTGAAGTAATGTCTGATTATGGATTCAAGTAAGACTTTCAGTTTTCATCCTCTCTGTTTGTCAATTGACAAGTTTAGCTTTCTTCTGTTCTATGCTTTGCCACCGGTTAACTTGACTCACGTGCTTAACTTTAGAAATGTCCTCTCAATTGATGAATATGCATCACTTTTTGAGAATATTGACCCATTGGCACAATACAAGAAGTGGGCAGACAAACAGTCCCATGATAAAGTCACTTCGAGACATGATCCATGTTCAGAGAGGGTCCAGGCTGTCTTCGTTGTTAGCGATTCAATTGATTGGAGCCGGGATATTCAGGTATATTTTTATAGTTTTCTCTTGATGTGTAGAACTTCATAAATGATATATTCCTCTCCCACTCTTTTGCTTTGAAAACTTTGGTACCAATCAACAAAAGACATTCTTAGAGTTCTTTATTCCTAAACAGTTCTTGTGAAAAAGGGGACATTTACTATCAGCTTTGCTAAATATTTTCTCTTCTGAGGAAATCCACAACACAAGCTAAATGCTCAAATTATCAATAGTTTAGACACCAGTTAGCAATGAGCATTCATACGGAGTACAATTTTTTTCTTTAATAATTCTGAAAAAGGGAGAACTTTTACAATGAGCTTTGAATAATATTCTCTTCTGGGGAAATTCACATCAAAGGCTGTGGTCACCAAAAGCCATTCTTACTGTTTCTTCTCAAATCTTCTGAAAAAGATGGACTATTACTATCAGCTTTGTTAAATATTTTATCTTGTAGGGAAATTCACATCATAAGGCAAATACTTTACTTATTATCAGCAGAGCAATATTTCTCTTCATTCCCCCCATCTACTGTGATTCACACTTTTTGCTTGCATTCATTTAATTTTTTGAAACATCTGCTTGCATTCATTTATTTACAGTCTTTGCTGGAATTATGTGTCAATTCCAGGTTCTTTGTGATATTTTAAGGACCGGAGGCCAACCGGGAAGAGAGATTGCACACCAACCGCCTATCTTTTTTGCTAGTGATGACCTTGCTTATCAGGTTTCTTATTATGAATATATGTTAATGCAAATTATATAATCTGTTCATTCCTACATGTGTTTTTGGGTAGGCATGTAAATTACGAGTATTATGAGTCAACTGAGCTCTTATATTGAGTGCTTTGATGCCAGGCTTTATTTCCCTCTGAACGTCTTGGAATGGGTGCCTTCCGAGTCGCACTAGAATCTGTATTTAATAGGTAACGGTCCACCAAATGTTAGGGAGTAGCTTAATTCTAGTTTGGGCAAAATCTGCTTTCTTTTCCCTGCCTGTGGCTTTGGCAAAATTTTCCCCAAGGAAAATTTCATAATTCATACATGATCTCATATCTTTTCTATGTTTTTTTTTCTCTTCCACAGCATTCACCCAAAGCCTCTGGAATATACATCATATGGGAAACCAAACTCCTCTGTGTTTAAACACGCTGAAGCAACATTGATGCAACTTAAGTCACCACATCATCAGGAAACAAGCGGCGAAATGCATCCCTTCAAAACCTTGTACATGGTTGGTGATAACCCATCTGTAGATATCAAAGGAGCTCGGCAGGTTTGTTCCTTGAGTTTTGACACCAACGTATAGGGTCCATTTTGAAAATTTACTCAGTATTAATCAGTTTTCATTTTCCTTTTATTTTTTCGAATAACTTTCTTTAGGATTCAAACATACCCATAAGGCTCCTCACTCATGAACTAATACCATCCATTTTTCTGTGTTAATCTCACACTTTTTTCAGGCGGGAAATCCTTGGTTCTCAATTTTGACAAGGACAGGAGTTTTCAAGGGACATGCCAATGACACTGATTTTCCAGCAGATCATGTGAGTTAATTTTTGTTTTCCTTGGCATTATTACACATTCACACTTTGCATTAATATACGAGTAGATATATCCTGCAAATTACCCATGTGTATGTGCTCTTCATCTTATCCCTCTTTAAGGTGTGTTTGGTTGGAGGTGGGGGGAGAGGGATTCTCATTTGGCTCAACAATAATTTATTTTACTTTAAAATCTCATTTTTTATTTTATCCCTCCTCGACCAAACAATGTTTATTTTATAAAAGCCATGGTGTTTATTTACTAAGACCATGTTTGGTTGGAGGGGTTGGATGAAGAGCTCGGAGGATAGTGGAGATATGGACCATTCCATTTGTGGAATTAATCTAGTGAGCCAAACGCAACATTTTTTTAACCAAACAAGGGATGAAAGATGGGCATGAATCTTGTTTTTAGAGAACAGTCCTAATGTGTGATATACCTTTCTTCCATTCCATGAACACAGGTTGTAGACACTGTGGAAGAGGCTGTAGAGTATATTTTGAGCAGGGAACGGCACTCGTTGTAATGAGAAGAATCAGCCAAGTTTCATTTCTTTTGGTTCGAGGAACAATTTTTTTTTGAGATTAACAAGCAAATGTTGGGTACGTTATATACTCTGCTGGACTTTCTCTCTCCTCTGCTCTGACTTTTCTCTCCCGTTGTAACTGGTAACGGCTCTTCCTCGGAGTAGTCGCCGGCGCGTCGACCCTCTGCTTCCGTCCTCCCTGCCGGCGGTTTAGACGGTCGTCGGACGGCGGCGGACGACGGCTAGGAACACAGGTAAGTACACACCCACCCCCACCCCTTATCCAGACCTAACACCCCCAGATCCGATCGCCAACCCCCTCGGTGGTCGCCGCCGACCCCCCCAGCCCTTCGCCGTCGACCTGACCAAGCT